TCGCTGTGACGAGGTAGAGAACGAGGCAGCCGACGGAGGTAGCAAGAGCCCATTGTCAGTTGTATTTGTGCATTGGCCATTACTCCTCCGAGGGGCGTATCGGCTATAGGGCGATGGAACACTACTGGGAGATAGTGTTGGTTGGGAGTCATTGGAGAAGGAGCGGAGGGAACCCGGAATTGCTGGGCTGATTGAGCGCAGGCGCACGTAGGAGCCCGAACCGTTGTTCAGAAAGAGAGTCTAGGAACGGATGATTAGACATCCACGCTGGATTCCTCAGTTGCTTGACAGTCAGTCAGTACTTACAGTAGCGCGCATTGTCGCGATTCCCGGCAAGGGGTGGAAAGAGCACAGCGGTGGCTGTAATTGTCGCACAATTCAAGGGGCATCAGAGGTAAGATCTTAAATCATGGTCGAAGACGAGGGAAGAAATGGAGAATAAGGTCGGGTTAGTGAGAGGGTGATATGAGGAAGGGGGGGGGGGGGGGGAGGGGACAAGTGGAAAGAAAAGTATACACGGCGGGCAACAACAATTGCACTTCAGTAATCGAGAGCCGACGACAAATTGCGGACGGACGGACGGGGGGGGAGGAGGGGAGGAAGGAGGAGAGGGACTAATCAATAGTTACTGTCTGTCTGACGTACTCCGGCCTTCCCTTCGGCTGATGTTCTCGGCCCTTTCCATTTGGGCTCCGGATGAGGAAACTGCCCGACTTCGGGGCGCGGACACTAGCCACAATTGACATAGCATCAGCCACAGGCTTGGATCAGAATCACGTGACTGCACTTCTCCGCGGCGCGTTCCCGCCAACCCAAACAAGGCTGTAAACAAGAGGGCGCTTGTTGAGCGTCGCACTTTTACAACCTTGGATGACGGTCAGTCTCAATGTCATAATCATTCTCAGCCATAGCCCAGGAAATGGAGACCTTTGCCGCTCGTCTCGCTAGTTTCGACCGGGTCTTGTACCCTGGGGGACGAAGGTCATCAATTACGCCCGGAGAGCCTATCGCTTGGCCTCACAGTAGGCCTTCACCCGCGGAGGTATTCCAACAGCGTTCCCCTGCAGCAATTCAATCGCTGACTTGCGCTTCTCATAGCTTGCTCATGCAGGATTCTTCTACCACCCCTACGAGACGAATCCAGACAACACGATATGTTTCCTGTGCCGCAGAGCGCTAGATGGGTGGGAGGAAGAGGACAACCCGATCACGGAACATTTGAAGCATGCGCCGGACTGTGGGTGGGCTGTCATGATGGACATTCAACAGCACAGCTCCAATCCCGCTGAGATCGAAGACCCGACCAGTGAGCGCATCGTACAGGCCAGACAGGCTACCTTTGGCGAAGCATGGCCTCACGATGGAAAGCGCGGCTGGACTTGTCAATCGGACAAGGTGAGATTGAATATCTGAGCACGGCGACTGTAATATCACCTTGTGATCATCAGCTCTGACCATTGCGCTGTTGAATAGATGGTTGAAGGCGGATGGTATTTTTGCCCAAATGAAGAGAGCAATGACCTGGCCACCTGTGCGTACTGTAAATTGTCGCTCGATGGCTGGGAGCCAAAAGATGACCCATTGTATGTCTCTGTCGCTCTTTCTGTCTTAGACGTGACTGACCCCTTTGCCTAAAAGCGACGAGCATTACCGACGGTCCTCAGACTGCTCTTTCTTCGTTTTTGCTCAGCCCCCTACCACAAAGAAAGCAAAGAATTCCCGCTCGAAGAAAGGTCGCGTCTCCAAGGCGGCCCGTCTCTCGACCCAGTCCACTGTTTCAGAGGCACCTGTGCAGGAAGTCGACGACTCAATGGACCAAAGCACTATGTCCCAATCAACCACGAAATCGAAGTCGTCGAAGAAGTCAACGAAGTCCAAGTCCAGAAGCAAGAAGAAGGATGAGCAGGTTGAGGCAGACAGCCAGATGGACGTGGACAGCACATATCAGACGCAATCAGAACCGCCGAAAGCGAAACGAACCAGAGGCAAGAAGAGGACAAGTGAGGATATAGCCAAGGACGATACGAATCTGGATGCAGAGACCGATGAGAAACCCGAACCTCCATTCAAAAAGCGAGCGACTAAAACCCGTGTTAGTGCCCAGCAACTGGAACACGAGGAACAGCCCGAGGCAGCCACGATGGAAGCGCCCATGGAGGAAGTCCATGAAGCGAAACCGAAGAAGAGCCGCGGTACGAGCAAGAAGAAGGCTGCTTCCAAAGGCCGAAATGTCACGGATGATTCATCTACATCTAAGGCCCCTGCTTCACCCGAGGCGCCTCAAGATCCGGAGCCCGAAGCTGTAGTCGAGAATGATATCGAGCTAGAAAGGGCTAGCATCAAGGAACCCAGCGAAGAGCCGGCACCGAAGCCTTCGAAAAAATCGAAATCCAAGAAGAAAACCGCACAGGCCCCAGAGCCATGGAATGACACAGAACAGCACAGCGTCGAAGTTGAGCCTCAGCCGGTTGAGGAACCAGAGCCACACCAGTCACCAGAGCCTCAGCCACAGGTTCAAGAGCCACGACAAACAAGACGTTCAAGCAAGCGACAAAGCGCGAGAAACTCGACTACTGTCAAAACTGAACCCCAAGAAGAAGTAACTCCGAGCGAACCAGTAGAAGACCAGCTTTCAGAGCCCGCTGCTACCAGCCGCGAGCAAGTCGACACAAAAAGGCACGAGTCATTTGTGTCCGTGGAAATCACGACTAGGGCGCCAAGCAGGGAACCCGAAGCAGAGGTCGAGGAGACGAATGGGAAGAAGAAGCTCAAAAGAAAGGAGTCCACCGAGAAGCAGAAGAAGTCTAGGAAATCTGCAGAAGAGCCTGCCGATGCTGTACAAGAAAATCGTGCTGGGTCCGAGATTGAAGAGACGGTTCTTGACATGGATGGTCAGACGCTATTGGGACCGAGCGAGCAAGAACCACAGGTGCAGACACCTGTGCAGCAAACTGCTAGTCGCAGGTCATCCCGAGTACCTCCAAAGACTGTTGAGAGATACAGTGACATTCCTAAAGAGAAGCAGTATGCAACATCGCTTGTCGAGTCTCGGAACTCAGGCGGTCGCTCTATTTCAGGAAATGCCGATCCAGACGATGAAAGCGACCAAGAGCCAGAAACCGTCTCGCCATTGCCCTCGCCGTCCAAGACCACTCCTTCGCTATCGCCGCAGTCGTCTGATGCTGAAAACCACCCTCCCTCCTTGAAGCCGACGCTGAAACCGCCTACATCTCGACTGCTTGTCCCTTCCCCTTCCAAACAGCAGTCAGCTCGGATCCCATTTGCAGCCAGTACGCCATCACCGTCTAAGCGGGCTGCAAACACCGGGTCTCTCAACAGTACGCACCCCTGGACCCCAGTGGATATCGACTCTATTATTCTGGCGGGCACGAGCGACAAGGAGAACATCGATTTTTCCGATATCCTGAACAGCACCAAGGGCGAGTTGAGTAGCCCGGAGAAGAAGATGACTGTTGAAGAATGGATCAGGTGGAATGCAAAGAATGGCGAGGAGAGACTCAAACGTGAATGCGAGCGCTTGGTTAGTCAATTTGAGCAGGAAGGTGCTCGGGCGATGCGCGTATTGGAAGGTATTGAGTGTATGGATTGAGGTCTCATGGGTATAATCGGTCAGGAGTCATTGGGTCGGGCGAAGGGCATTGGATAATCGGTTTCTGCGAAATTTCTTCTTTCTGCTTCTGGGATAATCTCTCAGCGATATTGGCAAATAGGAATGCGGTCGGTACATGATTATGCTTGAGTTGTTTCTGATATGGATACTGTCAATGATTTATACATGCGCCTGGATAAAGGAAATCAACCGTATAGAGAGAAGATACAGAGCCGTAAAAACCTGCAAACCGAAACGCCATGGGTATACTTGAGCTTCTGAAGCAGCATGAACCGCCGAATCTATCCTCCAATCCCTTGCCAACAAGGAACCATCCTAATGTGCTTTCCCCCCTACCCTTCCGTCTATGCAATGATCCCCAATCGACCCTCCCAGCTGTCCTCCTCCTGCTTGACGCCATTCTCGCCCCCCTTCCGCCGCTTCTCATTCCGCTTCCGCCGCTTCTCCTCGCGCTCCTTGGCATCCAGCTCCTCGCGCTCCTTCAGCCTCTCCCCGAGATCCAACTGCCAGGCGCGGCGCTCCTCCTCCTCGCGCTCCCGCCGCCGACGCGCCAGCATGCGCAGCCGCAGCCGCACATCGGCCACCGTCGCGACGGCGACCTCGCCGCTCTGGCCGGTCGCCAGCAGATGCTGCTTGCTGTTCAGGTGCTCGACGAGCTGCAGGTTGTCCTTGAAGGTGAGGTCGCAGTCGGCGCAGTAGAAGCCGGCGCCGCGGCCGCGCTTCCCCACCGCCGCGCCCGCCGCCACCATCGTCGTCTTGCCGACCATCGAGGCGACGTCCAGCCGCTGCGTGCGCGACGTCGTCGCCTCCAGCGTGCTGTAGTCCACGGGCGCGTGCCATTTCTTGCCCAGCAGCTTCGCCTCGTACCGCGCCTTGGCCTCCTCCTTCCGCCGCGTCTCCTCCGCCGCCGCCCTGCGGGCGTACTCGTCCCGGTCCCAGGTCTTGCGGAAGGCCGTGTCCGAGGCGGGCGTGCCGCCGTAGGCGGAGTCTTTGTTGCTCATTTTTTTTGGAGGAGGGGGATAGTTCGGGGGGTTGAGGTGTGTGCCGAGCAATTTGGGGGTAGGGTTGGTTATATGTGGTTGGTTCGTGAGGAGGGGTTGAGGTGTTGGGGTTTTGTGGAGAGAGAGGTCGTGAGTTGTAGTAGTCAGGTTGACGATAGAGTAGATAGTTGCTGAGGCAAATGGATGCTAGCATTTCCAAAGTAGTAGGCGGTAGGCAGGATGTTCTCGAGTGGGGCGAGAAGCTTGTTTGGTGTTTTTGGTGTGTTTGCTTGTTGTTGCCTCACTGGTGAGGACTCAGCCTCACTTATCGATTAGTTAGCCTCTCCACCTTCGCTATCGATAGGCGCGGGGGCGCGGGATACATAGTAGTAGCCTGATGCTTGCTTGCTTCCATTCAAATCACCTTCATGTCTTCTCACCGGAGGTTCGTGCTGGGGAACTAAGCAAGGCTTCAAGATCACTCGTTATGCGCTAATTTATGCTTGCTCTTCCGTGCCTAATAAATTGCTTAAAGCATCCTTCATGTTCCAGTTTCTCGAAATAGTTGAGACATCTACCGTTACCCCTGTTGCCTACGGAGTACTCTTCGCTCGTATCAGCAACGCCGTACAGGTCATTTCTTCGTGCTCCCAAGCAACAAGCATAACCACAAGCCACACATGAGAGATAATTGGCATTCGCACAATACATTGTGGTTGTTCATGCAACAGCGACACGCAGCCACCATCCCACAACTCATCAAACACCCACTTCGCGCAGATAACGATTGTTTGTTTACATCTCCAGAATCCCAGCAGAGAATCAACCACACTCTGTGCCCCACCGTCCACCAGAAAATGCAATCCACCATGGTCACAGACGCGCACATCCCCGACACGCAGCCCGACACATGCTACAACCTCATGGACCTCCCCACGGAGCTCCACCTCCACATCGCAACCTACCTCCCGTACCCGGACGCGCTGGCCCTGAAGCACAGCTGCCGCCACTTCTACCCGCTGGTCTACACGGGCGTCCACCTCAAGGTCGACTGGCTGGTGGAGCGCTTCGAGCGCAAGCTGGAGTGTCCGATGGAGAAGTGCTCGTTCCGCACGGACGAGTCGTTCTGCAATGCGCGGGTGCGCCGCATCATGGAGCGCCGGCGCCGCCACCTCGAGTGCCTGCGGTCCCCCGGCGGCTGCTTCGTCGTCGACGGGGAGACCTGTCAGAAGGATCTGGTGCCGACCTGGCTGAAGAAACGGGGACGGTTGCAGAGGGCGCGGTCTTGGGGACATGAAGGTTGGTCTCGCAGATCGGACATGGGGGCGGTTGCAGGGACTAATGGTTGCCTTGTAGTGTTTGTGACTGGGGTGTTGTTCCTCGTTCTCAACGTGCTGTGGCATATGTGTGGAAGGTATGTGGGCTGTGATCTATTCTTGCCGCTGGTAACTGGGACTGACGGGCTCGGCTAGGCTGCTTCTACTCGCGGATGTCGACATTCGACCCACGGCGTTCCTTCGCTCACCTTGACCCGATTCTCTGTCTGCTATCGCGGCGATTTTGTCACTCCGTGTCCCTCACCAGCAGCTGGCTGCAACTACCATTTCACAAAATTAGCAACATCTAATACCTTTCCCTCACCTGGAGAGCAAGAGAAGCACCTCCTGAATGCGGGCTATCCTTGCTGGCCGACGGACTATACTCTTACCTATACTCGCATCCTCAGCATTCTGTACTTAACACCAACAGCATGGCTGGCTTGATATTATACAACCAATCCACGAAGTTATTTCTCTGTAGAAATCACGTTCCATTCCCATTCTTTGCATCTAGCACCTTCAGAAGACGGTATCACAGAACCCAAACAATTCCCATAAGAATAACCACCCCGCCCACACTAACACCCAGTAAAACTTGACAAAAGCCCTCACAAAAAGAAACCTCTTAACTCCGTCCCCACGCTAAGCTCAAGTACCCCCCATCTCTCCAGGTAAATCCCCGTACCCTCACCAAACCTCAAACCCACCCCCACCCCAACCCAGAGAACATCAACTCCCACACCGCAACCCATAACCCACAGTCCCAATTCACAATAGAATCAACCCCTCCCATAACACCGAGGACAAAACCGTCCCCCACGCACACAGTCCCCACGCACACAATCCCCACCACCACCCGCCGACGCGGGCCTCGTTCCCGCCGCAGATCCCACCGCAGATCCCGCCCCCGACCCAATCTCAAACCCAAACCCCACAGCATGAAGATGATCGTAATGCGTATGTAGCGCGTGCTGATGCTCGTGCTCGTGCTCGTGCTCGTGCTCGTGCTCGTGCTGATGCTGATAATGATAGTGGTGATGCCCGTGGCCGTGGCCGTGACCGTGATCGTGGCCATCTACCTCCCGCTGCTGCGGCTGCGGCTGTAGCTGCTCGTGCTGTTGGTAATAATACTGCTGCTGCTGCGACTGCGGCCGAGGACCCGAAAGCCCCAGAGGTTGAAACTGCCCCTGCAGATGCGCGAATGATTGGGCGCACGGCTTATACCAGTACTGCTGCTGTTGCTGCGGCGGCGGCATTTGCACCTCCCTGGATAGATACTGCGTCTGCGTCTGCGTCTGCGGATGCGGAAGCGGAAGCGGAAGCGCCTGCGTCTGCCCCAGTGGACGCTGCTGCTGCCACTCCGGTTCCTGGGGACCATACATCCTCGTCAGGATATCCTCCGGGAGCAGCGACGGAGGGAGGGAGATGTCTTTCCAGGGGTCGGTAAGCGGGGGCTCGAGGATGGGGAGTTTCGGATAGTAAGGGTCATGGGATCGGGCTGGTTCTGTCGCGGTTTCATTTGCTGTGGTTGTGATATTGCTGGTGATAGAAGAGGATGCCGTTGCGGTGATGGCGGTGATGGCCGTGGTGGCCGTGGCTTCTTGGCTCATACTGCCCGGAGGATCGAACGGGTCGATGGGAGCATAGCTGAGGTAATTCCGTCCACCGCGAGGTCTGCGAAAAGTGGAAGAGCTGTTTTGGAATAAGAATGACATGACATGGACATCCCTTGTAGGCTGTCTTGGGATCTTGGGGGAAAGTTTGTGAGGTTGGGCACAGCACGGTATTGTTGTGGTGATGGTTTGGACTTGGGATGATGGTTCTTTCCTTTTTCGGTGGGTGGGATGGGTGGTTGGAGACATAAGAGTCCCCCTAATATCAGGGTCTCCTTTTATCAAACTTGGTCTACAGATTGTAAACAATGAGATAGGTTGCGCAGAGCGAAAACAAAAAACAAAAACAAAAAAAAAATATGTCCCTATTCAATTTGAGTCACAGGACTCTTAGACTTAGTCAAAGTGACGTTGCTGGTTACGTCGTATGGTGATAATGACGCGAGAATCCCTTTACATATCCGTGCATCACTTCCTCTATCCATACTAGGAGACTACGCGATGCAACTCCTCTGCATGACTCTTCTCCCAAGGATAATTCTCCTCCACAGCCCGGATCAGCACCTCATGCTGCTCGCTTCGGGGCTTGATGCTGATCTCGTACGGTGCCGGATGGCTGATCACCCCAGGCAGAAAGTGCGGCTTCAAATCAACCTCCTTGCCGTCTTTGATGGGCTTGCTGAAGTTAAACACCGCCAGGGACTGCGCGATGGTCAAATAAGCCGTTGCATCTGCGATCGTCCGGCCAGGACAAACGCGTCGCCCAAATCCAAAGGCTAGGAAATGCGGATTACGCTCCGGAGTGTGGTTAGCACTTGCGATAAATCGCTCCGGCTTAAAAGTGCCTGGCGCAGGATATGTGGCTGGGTCGTGCAAGAAAGCCCTGTGCTTGTCAGAATCAAGAATCATCAAGAAGGCTGAGCGACAACTCACCAGATGTTAGACAAGATCTGAGACCCTTTAGGAATATGATATCCACCCCACGTATCCTCCTCTGTAGACTGATGCACAACGCCCATTGGCACAACCGGGTGCCATCGGAAGGCTTCTTTGACAACAGCTTCGATGTATGGGAGATTCTCGCGGTCAGCGAACCCAGGAAGACGAGATGTGCCCACTACCCGATCTATCTCTTCTTGTGCCTTCTTTTGAACTTCTGGAAACAAGGCCATGGCGAGAAAGAAGCTTGTCAGTGTGGACACAGTCTATCGAAGATCAGTTAATGCCCCTTTTCGCCGGTATTCAATGAGTACTTACCGTGTCAGCTCCTCCTCCGTATAATGTCGCTGCAGTCCATTTGAAAGTCGTCTCCTGCTCGCTCCCAGGCTCGGGGATACCGTTCTTCTCGAACAGCCCAGATAGGAAAGACGGCGCATGAGCGTTGCGTGACATCTGGTCGAGAACAAATGCATATGGCTTGGCACTAAGATTGTCCGCAGCCACGCGAAATTCTTTCACTGCCTGGTGAAATCCGCCCCCGGGGAACCAGGAAGGTATATGTTTCACTATTTTTGCCATGTCAGTAGTCGCGCCATTGGAAGATGCGAAGGTACGTACGAGCCGGGATGAAGTCGACCAGCCACATGCCTGGAGTGATGGACCGGACAAACTTCTCTACGCTATCATTTGCGATCTCGACCAGAGGATCCTCTCCGTCTCGTTCTATGTTGTATCCATACGCGACTTTCAGGATCACACCTCCAGCTAGTCTTATTTTGTCAGTCCACCTTGCGCACTCCCAACAGTGCAGGAAGGTCCAGGCTTGACCTACTTTCGAATATGAGGTATCAAGTCCTGCGGTGCTTCGAGAGATCGCAGCATGAACCGCCCTACTTCGGCCTCCTGGAAGTTATTGTAGCGAGCAACAGAGTTGACAGACCCAATCTGCTTGTGGAACAGCCTTCTATGGACACGCAGGGTGTCTGTATACGCCATAGCACTGGTCACTTCGTTGTAGCCGGACCTGCATCACCTGTTAGCCCTTGTTTTCGTAGTACATTGTCGGTTGTAGGCTTACAAGTGGTTGAATTGTCCCTGTGGCCGGCTGGAATGTATAGCCGAGCGCTTTTCCAGCAAATCCACGGCGATCTGCGCATCGTTGATGATAATAAATGTCTCGCCAAGAACTTGTACTGAGCTGATAGGACCTGCGAAGATTATTAGTCGTTTCTCACGACGCTCAGCTCGAGGCTGCTCACCGTATAGCTCCTTGAACTTGAACCAATGTACCCAATCCTGTCCGCCAGTGGGAGGAAGATCTAGGAGATTCCCGATGAGCGGTTTCTGTCTAGGCCCCGGAGGGAGTGGTGCAGGCAGTTTCTTGCGAGTCAGAATGACTTTGATTAGGTACGCGCCAACGAGCGTGGCGAGAATTTCCAATATGTGAAGCATGGTACCGTGCTGGGTGAGATTTCAACCAGGGGTGCGCAGGGTCTTGCGAATCCATCGGAGGAAGGGGGGCTAGCTGCTGCTCTTATAACTCGAGAAGTGAAGGTCCTTTCGGAGCCCTTAGCATCATCGGTCTTCATGGCGATCTCTCTACAGCGGGGTTTCGTGAGGGTCGAGGAGACTTTGGCAGCACTCAATTTCAGCTGCGTACTGTCTAAATTTGTGGAGTGTGGCCTCGACTAGGAGATAGTCACACCGCGGCGCAAAGCACCGGCTGCACGGAAACCATGAGTGTCAGGGGTGGCATTGGTTGAGGGTCTGGCAGCTAGCGAGATGGGTGGGTGCCGGTCCACGGGGTGAGTGGAAAAGTACGAGCTGAGCACTGGAACCTTTGCATATCCCACGGTTTGGATATTGATTGTCACTTAGTGGCATGCATGATCCTAGGCTAGGGAGGTTGCTAGCTTCGCATGTGAGACAGTGGCAGCTTTCTCGCTTCGTCTTGCCTCTCGAGCGGAGAAGAGGGGGGGGGCTGATCGTTGGAGGGGTCTGGTGGATAAGCATCAAATTGAGAGGCAGTGATTTGACAAATACTGATCGATTCTCAGCGGAAACCCCGTGGACGTGTCATAGTCAGACCGAGGCGGGGTTGGTGACAAGGATCCAAGCTGAAGAGCTGCAGGGTAAGGTGTAGACGGAAGCGTTAACAGACCACTTGCGATGAAGTGTTTAAAGATGCGCATCTGTCACACGAGGTCGGGCTGAAGGTGAAAGGATATGATATGATGTATATATTGAGTTTCGGGGAGGAGGTTGGTCTGGTACTTGATGGTTTGGGGGAATTTGGAGAGTGGTTGATGATGGAAGTGTGAGAGGGGAATGAGGGGAAGATGTTCAGATACGGAAGGAGAGAGCCTAATAGGCGGTGCAAAAAAAGGATGACCTACGCAGGGCTCGAACCTGCAATCTCTTGATTCGTAGTCAAGCGCCTTACCATTGGGCCAGCAGGCCTTGCTGTTGTAATTATGATGTAAATGCCGTTCTATAATCTACATCACAAGCATCGTCAGAAATTCTCTATCATCCATGGCTCCATTCCTCTCCAAGTGAGTCGTGGGAGATTTTGAGCAGAAGAAATATGAAGGATACTTAAAAGACTATTCTAAAGGGTGTTTCCATTTTTGGAACTTAAGCTTAATGGTTCCGATGAAGAATGGTCTACCACTTACATCAATTCCACGTGTATGTGTCCCGAGTAGTCTCAATCTATATATCTTCACCGGACCAACGACCTTCGGTGTCGAGTATCGCCGTCATAGCCCGCAACGGGATATTGGCATGTACACCGATATCTTGACCAATTGTCAAGAAGACTCGCCTCCCAGCAGTATCGAATTCTGGATATGCATATGTTAGTCGTGCATAGCCAGGCACTTCCGAGCACCGGGAGATAAGCCCCTGCTGACCGATGCCGGGATCTGAAATAAGCTCTACAACAGTGGCAGAATCGCGACCATAATCCAAGTCCCCCTCAAGAGCGACCTTCTCCTCCAGAGAAATGACCTTCTCCGCAACAACTGCGCATACATGGCTATTGAAGACGCCTTCCTGGCGGGATGCCGACCTCAAAACACCCACGGCCTCACGGCGGATCACCGGATCACGACAGAGAGTAGCGACATCGTAGAGGGGACTGATAATGCCCAAGTCGAGTGAGAAACTAGGACTCAGTCGCGGTTGGTCCCGTAAAGAGCTGACTGACTGGGCTGGTGAGGTAGATGGAGAACCAACACTGCTCGTAAGCTCCACGACGGAGGCAGCCAAAGCTGTGATCTCCCTAAAGATCGCATTGTATCTATCCCAGACGGTCGACTCCGACGAGCCAGAAATATACTGCTCTAGTAACAGATTGTGCCTGAGACGATGGATCTGCAATATCTTCAAGCCCGCTTGCTCCCTCACGGTCAAGGAAGGACCACGAACGTGTTCGAAGCAGTCCAAGGCCCTGGACCACTTCTGCAGTATCCCCGTATAGCGCTGTACTAAGGTCTCCGGCTCATCGACCGTTCCAAATCTCGCCATAGCATTGACCATAAGATGGTATTCGCGCCTAAACATGCTGTCGTAATGCTCATATACATCGCGGGCCTCCGTAAGGGAGGAAAAGCACTGTGGGATGTCGACAGATCCGTATCCAGCCAACTGCAGTGAGGTGAAAGACGGATTATCCTCCTCGGCTCGTGTCTGCTCATAAAATCAACTTCCATAAAAACCCCGAGAGTATGTGTAGATCACGGAAAACAAATTTGACCTACCAAGGTGAAGGCCTGGCCATGCAATCTAACGAGGAGAATCCGCAGGTTCTCAATCTCAAGACTCGGCACGGTAGACGGCTTCAGAAAAGGATGATGATACGTCCCCGTCCTTGGATCATAGGTGACCTGCCCGAGTATCCTCACCCCATTGCGAATATGATTGACCGCGGCGATGTAATGGCTGGACATGATCTTCGCTGCTGGTCAACCACCGATACCCAAGCAACAGCCACCTCCCGAAAACATACCTCATAGCAAATAAAAAGAACACATGAAATCAAACACACATCGACGGTGAGCCTCCTATCGTGGCTGCCACTAACATGGAGGGGTGGGCTGCTGCCCGAATCTGAGGGGCCTAAGAGAGCTCTGATCGCCGCAAGATACTCCTTCACTGCAAATGTATCGTGCCCCTCACGACTGAACCAGAAGCCGGGAATCTGCCGGTCATTCTCAAAATTCTCATGCAAGGCACCGAGGGCGACCAGCGCGTGCCAAATAGGCTTCTCGTGCTGACTGACCTGCAACACCGACCGGCTCCAGAGTTCCGATCCGCAGTAGCCCGCTAAGGAGAATACGGTCTTCTCGCAGAAGAACTGGAAAGATCGAATATCGCGCTCGCTTCTCGCATACCTAAAGGTTACAGGAGACAAAGAAGGCCGCGGAATAGAAAGGCCCATCGAGGACGGGGAGGTTGTATGGTAGCCATCACACTTGCGACCGGTGGAAGTGCATCTCAAGCAACTCGGTCTGGTCTCGTCGCATTTAATACGTCGCTCTGCATCGAGAGAAGCATTAACCGACTGACCCAGGAGCATTCATATTGTGGTCTGAAAGATGAACTCACTCCTACAATCTTATGTTAGCTGAGCTGCCTGCCCTCGAGCGGTGGTGCGGATAGCTTACTTGCATGTCAGACATCCCGACTTGGTCCGTGTCCTATATACTATCTGTCGCACCTGCGGAGTTGCCATCGCGAGAGGCCATGGGACTGACTGGGCAAGGTGATTGTCTTTCGAGGAACAAGGGTCAAACCAACTTGATAACTATACGTGGATACGTGGGACTGCGCTGATGAATTGGTCGAAGTAACAACCAGAAAGTGAGATCCGTCAACAGCGACCGGGAAGTCTATCGCCAGCACGCACTAGTCCCCTTTGAGCCGTGGCAACACCATCCCTATGGATATGGCAGCAGCATTTATTTTTAGATTGCCTGACAACTCCAGGAACAACCTGATAATGCCATTATATCAAGACATATTTGGCAGAACAATATCATACAGCCATGTAATTCATACAAAAATGGAACTCCGCACGCAGCAATGTGTCACACGTCTGTCCGTCGTATCTAGACCTCTTCCAGCCATCACATAGCTGGACCATTGAATGGGAAACTATCCCACAGTGGCAATTCCATGCCACCCCATCCCGTGAGCGCAGCACTGTACTCGGCAGGATCCACGGCAGAGAAACCATCCACACTTGGCCACGGCTCAAATAATCCGAGTTGCGAAGGATCAGAAATATCCTCGCCGGCAGAGGCGACTGTCTCAGTTTGGGTTTGTGTTGACAGGCGGCGGTCATCCAGGCTGAAAAGCTTGCTGACGTATCGACTTCTGGTTTGTTGCGTGTGTTGTGCGAGTCGCTGGCGCTGCTCATAGACGGCATTCTTGAGCAGACTGAGGATTTCAAGGTAGTGGGCAGCTTGAGCAGATCGCTCAGAAAGCATGCGCAGGATGTCGAGAGCGTCATCGTAAGTTTCCTCCTGCAACGGGTCTGCTTCTTTCTGGGAGAACATTGAGAAACCTAGCACTAGTCCGGCTGCAAAGATAAAAGCCTTGAGTATGCACATGTTTCCTAGCAAGAGACGAGATTGGAAGACCTCTGAGCATGTCTGGATCATATACACTGCTGAGTCGACGCATGCTGTTGCTAGTTTGGAATATGCCAATTCCTCATTGTGTTCACTATTGCCGTCCCCCACGGGACTGCGATTTGACCGTGCAAGCTGAAAGCCCAGAGCTGATATTAAGAAGGGACGTGTCACTATGATAACGGCGAAGTGATACGTGCACGCTACATGTAGGTTCCCGATAATATGCTGATGAGCCGCAGGCTGTTCATAGTCGGTCCCAGGAGGCGCCAGTAATGACTCGGGTAGATCATCACTCCAGTCCTTCAGCTTAGTTAAGAGGGCATCAGCCACCTCGACCGAGGCCGCCTGCTTTCCGTAAAGGCCAGTGATGATATCATCCAAGATCTTTGACAACGTGAAAGAAGCCACCAGGCTCTTTTCTGCCTGGCTATCGGTGTGTGACGATGAGAAAGAGGTGTCTTCTGAGTCCGAACGTATGGAGGTTGTCGCAGCTGCTCTGCCGAGAATAGAACTTACTAGTAAATCCAGTACGCAAAGACTCATCCACACCCGTGCTCTGATATCTTGTTCCTTAGTTGGAACGGTTTCCCCGAGGTCGGTAAGTTGTAGACCCAGTGCCACTGCTGCCCGGACAGCTACCCCCAGATACATGAACGCGGCGTTTCTGCGACACGCACCGAGCATGTAGTATGACATCAGAAGAAAGAGACGCACTAGATCCAGGCTTGGATTTTCGAGCATCCCTGCAAATGCGCTGCGCTGAGCACAAGCGAAGAAGAACTTTCCAGCACGCTCTGCTAACGGATGATGCTTCGACGCTTGCGCTCCAATAGCGATAACGATATTCATCAGAGCTGATTTGGTTTGATCTCGATTACCAGTGGTCTCAGCGCTTGAGCCAATTGGTGCTTCCAGGAGCTGCATCGCTTCCTCTTCTGACAGAACATGCATGAAGCCGCTCGTTGCTGCACTGTAGGCTTGAGCATAGTATTGCTGCTGACGCACGTCAAACTCATCGCCTAACTCGAGGGGGATGTCATCTGGTGACTCGGTTTCCAGCATGTCTTCGCTTTTCATATTGTGGGAGAATTGCGATGGTCCAATGCATTGCGTAACGGTATCTCGAACTAGCTGCAGGAAAGACAAGGACGCAGCCTTTCCAATATACACTAAAATAAGTCTTCATGAGCGCCTGAACCTGTCCGAATACAGTTAGATAATGCTTACCTCGTTCACCCCGAAGGTTACGCAGCATGCGAGGGTGGGTCCTGTGCGGCGTTTCCGGGGAGAGAGGCCCTGGTCCCAGAGTAGACACAGCTGGTCCGGAAGACGGAGAAGGTGAGAGGTCATTGATTTGACTTTCGGAAGATGCTAGGTCCAGAGAAGCAGTGTTTCGATTGGCAGAGATCGAGCCCGAAGGATAAGCGTTATTGTTCCCATTTGGCCGCCGAGCACTACCACGAGGAGCCGGAACACAGGTATCGGCGCGACCAAGCCGGATGCACTTTGCACATGGGAATGTGCCACTGCATCGCTTCTTGGTAGCCCGACATGCCCGACAAGCCTCATAGGCCCGCAGTCGATTCTCAGGGTGTACCTTCGGTCGCGGCATCACATGTGACAAGGAGGAATGAGGTGTGGGTTCAGAGACTCGTTCGAAGCTGCTGTTTCCGAAGAACCTGCTCTGACATTTGGCTTAGGCTTGACCTGAGTAAGGAATTGCAGAGAGATACCGCCATACATCTCACCGTGATGGTGTGGCATGAGGTTCTGGGATTGTCGTGAGCGATAGTTGACACTTCCCCAGGAAGTGTGTTTGAGTGTCTATCTAGACCAAGGAGCCCATCTCCACCCACCGCTAGTTGAATGGTCAGGACTTCGGGTAACGGCAATGGCTGACCCCACACTGCGATAAGCCCGATAAGCATGCTTTCGTTGCTTGACAGTACGTACAACTACCTCCTTCTACTTAGTTAAAAAAATTCAGTTCCAACATCGAACGATTCAAACTGGTCAACAGATGAATTCATAACTAACTAAATCTCATATACCAGATATATTTTCAAGAGAGTGACAATTTGCGAGATCTCAAATCAAAGCGCAGAGTCAATCAAATAACAAACAAGACTGCAACGGTCCTTCCTCGTCCTGCGGCGCAGCAACGCTGCTTTCAGTCGGTGCGGATGGTGCTTCGACATCGGCTCAAGCCATCTAGGCCGTCTTGCCTGATTAGAGCATCCTCACACTTCCTCTATTTCTCATTCGCGCACTCCTGAGCGAACTTGTCAATGTAGCTCGGAAGGGTCTTCTGCCAGACGGTCGCGTCCGAGTCCAGCTCCTTGATCTTGTCGCATTTGGCCTCGGTGATGTTGAGGGAGCCCGACTGCAACTGACTGAGGTGGCTCTTGAAGATAGGCTCAGTGGCCTGGAAGGCACAGAATCCATAATCAACCAGCCCTTGGATATCGTTGCAGAGGGGCTTGTTGCCCTTGGCAGAGCAACTCTTCTCAACGGCGGCAACGGCCTGGGTCTGGAGCTGCTTGAATTGCGCCTGCTCAGTGGCAGAGATACCCAGCTTCTGATCCACGTCCTGGATGAGCTGCGGGAGGACTTGGTTTTGGACGTAGGCGTTGTGCTGGTTGATGGTGGCGGTGCAGTTCTGCTCACACACTTCCTTGTGGAAGTATTGCAGGAGCTGCAGAGGCTTGTTGCCCAGGACCTTGGGGATCTCCAAGCAGCTTTCCGGAATGCTGGGCAGAGAGGGAAAAGCAGCGGCGTTGGCGGCCGAGATGACGGTGGCAGCCACCACAACGGACGAGGCACTGATGAGCTTCATTTTGGCAGGTGGAGGTGGAAAGAGACTTGTAGAAAGAGTTGGTTTGCTAGAGACTGTTGAGACGATTGAATTGGATTTGATGCTTGTTGATGATGTCCTGAAGGTCAGCAGAGAGGGTTCTTATATGTCTTCCACGGCCACAAGCCTACCTCGAGGCCATACAATATAGAGTGTCCTCTATCATGCTACACATCTGTATGGGATCCGAAGCCGGATTGAATTTTTTTTTGTTGTTTGGGGGTTTGTTTCAACCTGCAATCTCCCAGCACTACCAAGCATGATGGCTGGTGCAAGTCCAAGCATCGCGGATCAATCCGAAGTCTGCTCCACAAGAACCCAAGAATGAGTCGAACCTGATCGGAACAAACAGCCACCAAGGGTAGCCCGGACCCGTTCCTCTACGCCATGCGCTGAAACTGGCGAGGAGGAAGCGGCTGATCGACGTTTCGACCAAAAATTGAAGATGACGGGAATATTCCAGAGAACCTACTATGTCTGGACGGTTGACTTGGCCGCTGTGCGAAATTGTTTCAGATGAGATCATACTTTGCATGAACCGAGGCACAGTTGATTCTTTTGATTTTCTCTCAGGGTTCTGCGACGATTCCATGGGAGATCGCTGAAAGTTGGGAAATTCTCTGACAAAGGCCGAGATTCAGCCCTGATGCAATCTGCACCACTCCGACCGGCACACGAAACCGAAGATCATCAGTCCGTGTCGGATATTGATGACACTGTGCTGGGTTGCTGGTATAGAATCGACACATCAGTTGCCGAAGTGGCCGAGCCCCCAGCCGTGCGCACAGGGTCCAATGACCCCGGTGCTCCGTCATGATCCAGTACCTGAAACATAGATCATGGCCAAAAAGGTCCATAGCCGATTCTAAGAGCCGGCCTCAATCTCTCAGGAGACAGCAGGGCAATCCGTGCCCATTTCCTAGAACCTCACTGGCAGCTTTCGAAACACCAAGCAAGCGACAGATCAAGAGTGGCCTTGCGCTAACGATAGTGCTCATTTGTACGGAGTACCGAGGCTAGAGAGACTCAAGACCACTTAGGAAGACTTCCAGGCGTGACATAGAACTTCAAATGTAGATCCATCTCATTGCAGGGCTGAGGACTTGCGCCAAATTGAGTGGGCAGACCATCGTCAAAGTACTGCAGTGTACACTGTACAGTAACTCGCTAGTATGTGGAGTGCCTTTCAGCCTCGCTGCCTCAGGCGACGTCGCATGCCTTGCAACAGACGGGGCCAGCCATATCCCATTACCTAATGAAAAAGAAGTCCACGACTCACCGGCGAGAAATTTCAGGTACACAAGCGAGATCAAAGCCAGAAGCAGCGGGTGCACGCAAATTTTCCTGGGCCCCCATTGGCCCAACCGAAAATTTCTCCAAGCAAACACAACAAACCCACCTGACCTCGCTTGTGGCTAGCGCGGCCGCACCCCCGACGACCCCAATATAAAACCCTCCCAGACCCCCAGCTATTTTGAAAATCAAGCGACTCTACGTGAGTGATCCCCCCCCCCTACCTTGGGAAATTCCTCCAGAATTCTCAAGCAGCCATCACAAATCATGAAGAACAGTTTTACTAACCATCCTCTCTGCAACAGTTCAAAGAATCACTTTAGAGTAGACGTCCCACCTCTGAGCTCTTCTAAAGAGCCACAGAATCCTCACCCTTGCTGATGACTTCTATGTCCTCGATGCCCTAAAGTGAAGCCGTTTTACTTCCGACTCGACTCTGCTTGTTGCCGCGCTCTGTTACGACTTGTCTTCGGACGGGCTTGTTTCGGGCGATTGGTCTTGCTGTGGTCCAGGGAGTGGTGATGATCTTTACCTTGTCGTGACGTCTTGACTTCGGTCGGTCTGACTTGGTGGGCGTCGAGGAGGTCTGAAAGGTGTTTTACCCCTCTTTTTACACTTTGATGTTGGTGTTTCTTGGGAGGTCCGAGGTCTTTTGCTCAAATTCGCTTGCTATCATGAATTCAAATCAAATCATTTCGTGATCAAATCTGTTTCTCTCCACTTGTAGCACCGTATGCTTGTAATCGATGGCAATCACTGTAAAAACTCGACTAGTCCTCAGATACCGAGCGTTTCACTTGTATGCCCGCGAGGTTTTCGTCGCGAGCCACACGAAAACAACGACTGCTCGTACGCTCTTGATGCTTACTGACTATGGAGGATTGTGCAGGTCGCGTACTCGATATTCTCTTTCATTATTCATAGATAATAGATATGTAGCAAATAAGAACACTGCAGTGTGTTGATGTTACATCGGATCGTTTCTCCGTGGACTAAAGCAGATTGCTCGTATAGAACAAGCTTCGCCAGGAGAGGTTGTGTCCATGGTAACCACTGCAGCTTATCGAGTAGATAGCCTCTGGTTGGCGGATATCATGGCTGTAGACAGCAACTTCTCACGTCCCAAGGCCGGCAAAGACGAATGCTGTGTGTGTGTGCATGCAGAGGGGGCTCCGGTATCCCAGCCTAATGGATCAGGGATGATAGATGCCTGGCGCCAGATGCTCTGTGCATGTGAACAGGTTGAATGTCCCGCCCAGAAAGCGAGTCGTCCATGCGTGATTCCGCTGCATGCGTGATCTGGGAGACTCATGCGCGTTACCCAACATCGAGACGCTATCGCTCCAGATGATCTTTGCAATCGAGTACAGCGCACCCCTAGCCTCTTACTTGCCATCCGCATTTCCCTTGTTCTCGGAGGTGTTACCAGCGTTGCCATTGGCATTCGCATTGCCGCCGCTGTTACCCTTTGAGCCGCCTTTGCCTTTGGAGCCTCGACCACCACGCGGTCCTCGGGATGAGTTTCCTCCAGATTTGCCCTCGGTGGACTTGTCGCCTCGGTTGTTGTGGGCGCTGCCTCCCGCAGTGGATGGCTGCGATTCACCTCCACGACCTTTTCCGCGACCCTTCTCCCCTCCGGGATTGGCCTTTCTCTCCAACACAACTACTTGACTCTGAGCGACCGTGACAGGGCTTGCAGCAATGGCTTTCTGAAGTCCGTCTGGCTCAGCGAAATCGACATAGCCAAAGCCCTTCTTCTTGTCGATTTCAACCTTCAGGACTCTACCGAAAGGAGCGAAGGCAGTTTCCAGCAACGGCTCAGTGACACCTTGGGACGGGTTGGCGTGCTTCAGGAAAGCTTGGGTGGCAGTGGCTGCTGGACCGGCCGGTGCTTGTTTTCCTTTGGCGGGCTTGGAAGGTTTCGGGGTTGTGCTGACGGGAGGAGTGCCCGCTTCCGAAGGCTCGCTGGGGTGTTGTTGAGCGTGGCCACGATCCCGACCCCTGGAGTTCTGCGAGGAATTGGCACCCTTCGACGACCTGCTGGAGGCCTCCTTCTTTGGCGGTTCGGGAGTTGCGGCGTTGACTTGTTCGTTCTTCGAGGCGTCGGAATCCACAGAGGCACCCTTCCCGCCGCGTCGACGACCGCCGGATGGAGCCAATCCAAGATCGCGCTGGAGGATTTTGGTAGCAGCAGAGATATTGCCACGTTCCCTTTTCCGTTCCGTCGATGGCTGGGGTGCGTCCTTGGGAGAGTCCTTGGAGGCGGACGACTTTGCAGCTTGCTTGGATGCGACACTAGCGGCCTGCTTGTTCGCCACCTTCACAGCTTCCTTGGTAGCTCTGTCGGACCTGCTCTTCCTATCCGACTTCTCTGCAGCGGCCGGCTGAGTAGAGTCTTTATCGGGCCGTTGAAGCAACTTCTTCGCTTGGATCTTCTCCGACTTCGAGTCCTTGTCGGACTTATGGCGGGAAGACTTGCTGGACTCCTTAGCTTTGTTGGCCTTCTTGTCCTTGATGTATTGAACTAAGGGCGTGATTGTCATCGAGTCTTTCTTGTCCTCCGCATCGGCGGCCGAGTCAATCGCAGCTGGCTTCGTTATGGGCTGGGTAAGACTCTCGAGGAAGGCGATGAAGTCGGGATCCTGATCAATAGTTCCCTGGCGAGCATCCTTGCGCGAACGACTTCCGGGGATCTTGGCGAATGGCGCAAACTCCAACGAGGGTGGTCCCAGGAGCACAGGGTCATTGAAAGTGTTGCGCGCATCCTGGAAAGACGTCTGGCGAACCTGAGTGCTAAGCGGCAGGGTATAATCGTTCGAAACGACGTGGATGTAGGCTCGCGAGGGCCGAGAAGGTTTGGCTGGGCTGTTTGCAGCAGTCAAGTTAGCCAAAGAGCAAGCCCACAGAAAAGAAAACCTTACTCTTTGGACACTTTGCCCGGCTTGTATAGGAACCAATCGACCTTTCCAGCTCCGGTCTTCCATTCGGGGCCGAGAGCTGTCTCGAATTCGGCTTTGGTCAACCCTGGCGGAAGCCGTCGAATGAGGAGCTTTAGGCGCGGCGCCGGAGGCTTGGGAGCTTTTTTAGTTGTCGCAGAAGCATTCTTTTGAGTCGCGGCCACTGGAATTTGCAGGACGCCTCCTGTGGACTTGCCGTTTGGGGTCTGCGTCATGGTGGATATTCAGACTCTTTCGGTCTGAGCGACCCCCGCCCTGACCAAGAGTGCGATTGGAAGAGTAGTTCTTGTTGTGGGAGATAAGGAGTATTGATTGAGAACACAATTCTACGCTGGTGATATTTTGAGGGAGGTGGAATCTTGAGATACCACACCCTTGGATACCAACTCCAGATATCAGCAGTGTTGTTGTCGTGTGGAAATGTTAAGCTGATAACCATCGGATGGCGAGATCCCGACAGCGAGTGCACGTGACCGGCGGCCATGCCCAACATCAATCACATCTTATTCACCCTGCGGGGAAGAACCCGCTAATGCGCATCCAGCTCAGCATACTTGGTGTGTCCCGGTGTATGCGAGCCACTTTCCTTTAGACCTTCTCGTTGTTCGCTCATTATACCTTCACAAGCTGCCCCTCGTTTATCCTTTTGTCCTTACCCCTCCCACCTAGTAACCTATCTCTATCGCGACCCTCCAACCCGCAGCGTGGCGTTAGCAGCATCATGGTTGACAGTAAGGTCCCTCAGCCGGGACCGGCCAAGTTGAAGCGCAACGCAGGCCCCGACGAGTGGCTTGAGGCCGCAAAGGACTGCAAGTACCTCTCCGAGGCCCACATGAAACAACTTTGCGAGATCGTGAAGGAGTTCATGATGGAAGGTAGGCCCTCGTCCGAGATCGGCTACGTTCTGGGAGGCAGAGATTGACGCAACCGCCTGTCCCTAGAATCGAACATCCAGCCCGTCTCAACCCCGGTCACAATCTGTGGAGATATTCACGGCCAATTCTACGATCTGCTCGAACTATTTAGGGTCTCCGGCGGAATGCCTAATGAATCGGAAGTCGAACCGCCCAAGACATCTCCCTCAGTCATCACGTCCGACGATATTGAGCCCCCGTCCACCATCACTGATCCTAAACTACGGAAGAAGCTCAGAAATTCAGGAGGCGGGGAGGGCGGCGACGACACAGCCTCGGTCAGCAGTCAACGGGGTCGTTCGTCGAGCGCAGGCTCGAATGAAGTGACTCTGAACCGCAATTTCGTTTTCCTCGGTGACTACGTCGACCGGGGTTATTTCAGCTTGGAGACCCTGACGCTCCTACTCTGCCTCAAGGCTAAGTGAGTGTTACGTGTCTGTCTATATCGACAACTCTCGGATCCTAACGGCTTTCCCCACTCTCCAGATACCCTGACCGAGTTACGTTGGTGCGTGGTAATCACGAATCCCGCCAGATCACCCAGGTATACGGCTTCTACGAGGAGTGCTTCCAGAAGTATGGCAACGCCTCTGTGTGGAAGGCTTGCTGCCAAGTCTTCGACTTCATGACGCTAGGCGCCATCATTGACGGCAGGGTGCTGTGTGTACACGGAGGACTGAGCCCGGAAATTCGAACGCTTGATCAAGTCCGTGTTGTCGCCCGAGCACAAGAGATCCCCCACGAGGGTGCCTTCTGTGATCTGGTCTGGTCGGACCCGGATGATGTTGAAACTTGGGCTGTCAGTCCACGAGGAGCCGGTAAGCAAGCACCCTCTAAATCCTACCCAAGCCCCGTGCTGACCGTTGATCTAGGCTGGCTCTTCGGCGACAAAGTTGCCGACGAATTCTGCCACGTCAACGACCTGACCCTAATCGCGCGAGCGCACCAGTTGGTGAACGAGGGCTACAAGTACCATTTCACCAATCAGAACGTGGTCACGGTATGGAGTGCGCCCAACTACTGCTACCGCTGCGGTAACCTCGCCTCGGTCTGCGAGATCAACGATGACCTCAAGCCGACGTTCAAGCTCTTCAGTGCAGTGAGCGACGATCAACGACATGTTCCGACATCGCGGCCGGGCCGCAGCGAATACTTTCTGTAAAATTATGACGTTGCTATTTGTTTTGTGGGGCTTGCTTGATCTCCGTGGATATCTCCAGGGTTTAACCGCACCGGCGCTGGCGTTGGGAGTGAATTACAGGATGGTGCTCACGCTCAAGTTGGGTATGGGCAAAGTGATGGACTGCATACATAACGACCGAGGGACCTTAATGAAGTCATTATTACCAATTCTACAAAGCTTTTTGTTTCTAGGATACTCTGAGATGGGATGAATTGGATTATCGTTGGCGGCTATACAGACTCCTTTCTAGACCATGACATGGGCGATGACCTGGTGCGCCATTCCCATGAGTGCACAGATTGTAGCATTGACACTTTACTCCTTCATCTTGCTGCATTCTATCGAGAATAGTCCAGAACCCGCAAAATTGCGGAGGCGACAGCAGGCTCCACCTGATTGGAGCACAGCGCGACCGAGGGCCCCGGCTCCTCAGCCGAGCCCCGGAATGGATTCCGGGGTACAGTGGCACCGCACTCAGCCCGGCGCTCACCACTGTCAAGCACTATATACCTATACCTATACTCTCATCGGGATGCATTCCGGCCACGAGGCATATATCAACACGAACAATGAGCTCCAACCGAACCGAGAACCCCTTCCTCCTCTCACCACACTAATACCCTGACTCATTCCCATTCCCAATCACAGCAAAAACGATGATCCAACAAGTCGACGTCCTCATCTGCGGCAGCGGCTCGGCCGGCCTCTGCGCGGCGACCTGGCTGGCGCGATACGGGCTGCGGTGCAAGGTGCTGGAGCGGCGCTCGGGCCCGATGACGATGGGCCAGGCGGATGGGGTGCAGTGCCGGACGGTCGAGATCTTCGAGAGCTTCGGGATCGGCGACGAGCTGCTGCGCGAAGCGTACCACGTGCTGGAGGTGGTGTTCTGGGCGGACGAGGATGGGTCCGGGGCGATTCGGCGCACGGGCAGGACGGCGGACACGCAGCCGGGCCTGTCGCATCAGCCGCACGTCATCCTGAACCAGGCGCGGATCAACATGCTGCTGATCGAGGCGATGCGGCGGTTCAATGGGCAGGAGATCGATTATGGGTATACCGTGCAGGGGGTCGAGGTGGATCGGACCAAGGTGGCGGATCCCGAGGCGTATCCGGTGACGGTGACGGCGGAGAAGGCGGGGACGGTGGAGAGGTTTGAGGCCAAGTATGTTATGGTATGTTTATGTTTATTAACATGTTGTCACATTGTTGAGGTGGTTGGGAGTGGCTGATTGGGAATGAACCAGGCATGCGATGGAGCGCATAGTACCGTGCGGAAGGTGCTCGGGTACAATATGGTCGGGGATAGTACGGACGCCGTCTGGGGCGTGATGGATATGGTCCCCCGCACGGATTATCCGGATATCCGGAAGAAGTCGACGATCCGCTCGAAAGCAGGTAACCTGCTGATCATCCCTAGAGAAGGGGACAGCGACAACCTGACGCGGTTCTACATCGAGCTCCCTGCGGGGACCAGGGCCAAGGATGTTAAGCTGGAGGATCTGCAGCAGGCCGCGAAGAAGATCCTGAGTCAGTATCGGATCGAGTTCGTGGAGACGGTGTGGTGGTCGGCGTATGCGATCGGCCAGCGTCATGCCGACTGCTTCCACAAGGACTATCGCGTCTTCCTTGCGGGAGACGCCTGCCATACCCACTCCCCCAAAGCCGGGCAGGGCATGAATGTCAGTCTCCAGGATGGGTACAATATGGGCTGGAAGTTGGCGTCGGTCCTGAAGGGGCTGGCCCCTCCGTCTCTGCTGGAGACGTACGTGCTGGAGCGGCAGAAGGTGGCTATTGATCTGATCAACTTCGATCGATACTTTGCGAAGCTCTTTTCGTCTAAGGGGGACGCATCGCCCCAGGAGTTCCAGGAGGGGTTCATCAAGTCTGGGAAGTATACTGCGGGTCTTACGGCCAAGTATGACGAATCGTCTATCACCTCCGACACGGGTGTGTCGAAAGAGCTTTCGACGAATGTCGTCGTGGGGATGAGACTGCCTAGCGCACAGGTGGTGCGCTTCTGCGATTCGAAACCGTTGCAACTAGCCACGACTCTGAAGTCTGACGGCAGGTGGAGGGTCATCGCCTTTGTTGGTGATCTCAGTATCACCCAGAACAAAACTAGATTGGATGCTGTAAGTGACGTGCCTGTTTACCGATCGAGCATGACATTGATCCCCATACAGCTAGGAAGCTATCTTAGCTCGAGCGACAGTCCTTTGCGGACTTTCCGTCTGGAGGGAGGCGACGCAGACGGCTTGATCGAGCCGATATTGGTTGGATATGGCCAGCGACACAGTGTTGAACTGGAAGAGATTCCTTCATGCTTTTACCCTGTTACCGGCAAGAACCAGACAAGAGGTGAGTATTCTGGCTCCTTTGGTATATGCTTGCTAACAACAGGGAAGACATCCATAAAATCTTCTTCGACGACGAGAGCTACAACAAGGGCCATGGACATGTTTATGAGCATCTGGGGATAAACCCTGAGAGGGGAGCGATCATCATCGTCCGCCCTGATCAATGTGAGTTTCCTCTACCTCTTCAGTAATCAGATCAGCTAGTGACACAGATCCAGATGTATCGACAGTGCTCAGTCTCGACGATTATCGCCAGATCGGCCAATTCTTCTCAGGATGTTTATCACCCCAAGAAGACCCGAACTCTGGGCCAGAAAGCAAGCTATAAGATCTCCGACGATTCCATGATGATAAACCTGTACCATAACCTCATCCACAATACCTACAATGCACATGTTATACCTTACACCAACCATTCTAAAACGAAAACGCAGCCGCAAATAGTCCCTGTCAATCTACCATACACCCAAAACCCACCAAACCTCCCTTCCCTCTAACCCCAACTCCATCACCACAACCCCATCATCCCCAAATATCCAGAAACTCAACACCCCCTCAACCCCCTCACCACCTCAAACCCCCTCAGCACATTCCCCCCTTGCTCATTAATAAACCCCACCCCCAACCTGCCACTGGCTTTCCGCTTCTTGCCCTTATCCCTCACCACCCCACGCACCTCGCCCTCGCCCACCCACACAAAAGCCTGATGCTCCCCTTCGGCCAATTTGACCCTCTCCTCCCAGCCCGCCGCCGCCGCCTCCCTCACCTCCACGAGAAACGTCACCTTGGTCTCCTGCAGCAGCACCCCGCGCTTCATCTTGGTCCACTCGTCGACGCACACGAGATCCACGAACCGGGAGACGTGGAGCCCCGTCTCCTCGCGGACCTCGCGCGCCACGCCCGCCAGCACGGTGGCGTCGCGGACGGGGTCGATCAGGCCGCCGGGGTTCTCCCAGTGGCACGGGTAGGAGTCTGTGATGCTGCGTTGGAGGAGGAGGGTTTTAGGTTCGGGTTCGTGAACCCCGTGAAGATCGTCATCGGGGGAGAGACTGTAGAGGTGGTCGTCTGGGGTCGTGCCTGGGGTTGTTGCGGGGGTGGAGGTGGTGGAAGAGGAGGAGGTCGGGGTTTGTGGGGATTGTGCTGCTGCTGTTGGGGTGGGCGATGAGGGCGATGAGGATGGGGATGGGGATGGGGATGACGATGCAGAGACAGGTACAGGTGGAGGTGTCGACGCTAATGGGGATGTGGGCGCTGTCGTTCCCTGTGCTGCTCTCTTTGTAGTCGTCGGAGCAGAAGCAGATGTGGTAATCGAAGTCACGGCGTCCGGCACGGTGGTCGAGAAGATGAACGCACCGCCGACGATGTTGTGGAACTGAGGACGGGCGGCCGCGAAAGCGGACAGCGGGATGTTGTATTCCTCCAGATGGGGAGGCACAATGTATGGGATTGGCAGTTGTTGTTGCGCGGGGAGCATTTTGTTGTGGTGGCGGTATAGTAGTTTGCGGGTATTGTTGTTGTTGTTGACGATGGCTTTAGCTATACTTACAAAACCCGGTGCAAGATAAAGACAATAAATAAGTTTTAAGACTCTAATGTAAAAAGTCAAGATTCATTGGAGATGTAGAAAGTAAAAGTAAAAGAAAACAGATTCACAAACTACAAGAAATAGACCTGGCATTGTCAGTGTTGATAAACTTTTCCCTCTCACCTCCTCTTCGTCTCGATTCTTTCGGTGTGCATCACAAAAAAGTAAGAAACCACCAGTTGTTGCTTTTCACAATCTGGCGGTCAAGAAAGATTCTCCCTTCCCTTTTTCCCTTTTTCCCATCACGAAGGATTCAGCTAATTTTAGGCCGATCTGATGGATCTCACTTCATCCAATGCACCAGTCTTAAAATTCAGAAATTAAGATTCGAAAAATTAAATTAAGGTGTGACAAGTGACAGTGACAGAAAAGAAAAGAAAAGAAAAAGAAAAAGAAAAAGCAGAAAAAGTAAAATAAAATAAAATTGCTAGGTTATTGACCGATGTTATATTCCATGTCCATTCCGCCCTTCCCCTTTCAATTGATCTATCGAAATGGGTTTGTCTGTAATTCCACTCAAGTATGCCCAATCTTTTGGTCCAACACCACCGACACCACCACCACCACCATCATTCTCATCATCAACCACAACAACAACAGAAACAAGGCTCTGTGCCCTAATTCGTTTCTGTTTCTCCCGTGCTTTTGTTTCCTTTGTCTCCTGTTTTTCTTTTTTATCATTTTTGGATTTTCATTTCCCTTTCCTCACCTCACACACGATACCAACGCACCATTTCCCTTCCCAGCCCAACGGGATCCCTCCACACCGACTTCCTCACCACTTCTCCTTCCTCTTCCTCTCCCTCTTTGGCATATACCACCACATCGGTGAGATCCTTGTGTTGACTCGCCTGTTCACTCTCCTCCCGCATGTTTTGTTGGACCTTCCACCCTCGCACAAACCACAAACACAGCGCCGCCGCGATGTAGAGGATCCCCGAGAAGACCTGCACCGGCTGGTAGGCTGCCGTGCCCCATGCCGGCCGCCGCAGCGCCTGCGCGATCGCCTCGCCAAACGCCCCGGGCGAGATCAGAACGAGCCAGAGGATGCTCAGCGCGCCCGGCAGGTCTTGCAGCCCAATCACCTCGACGATCACGGGGGCCACCGTGGCGAAAAAGGTACCCGACACCATGCCCCCGATCGTTGCGAAGACCGAGACGACCGCCATATCCTGGGCGGGGATCCAGATCGCGAAGCAGAAACCCGCGCAGACCAATGACAGCACCGACGCGACGTTCAGCCGGCCCCAGCGATCGCTCAGCAGCCCAATCAGCGGCCGCCCGACCCCCTGGCCCAGATTATGCAGCGCGCCGACCACACTGCTCTGGTGCGACGACAGCCCGATCGAGACGGCGAAGTTCGGCAGGCTGAAGTTGACCGCGACGAACCCGAGCGTGCTGAAGATCGCCCACCCCAGCAGCAGCACGAACTCCGCCCGCCGGAGCAAGGGGAACTGGAACGCCGTGTGCCGGCTCGCCGTCGCCTTGTGGCGGTCGCGCAGGAACGCCGCGCTCACCAGATTCGCCGTGAGCGACACCAGCGCCAGCGTGCGGTACGTCCACCCCAGCCCGATGTTCTCGATCATCGACTGGATCGCCAGCGAGTAGATGATCCCGCCCGTTCCGGCTCCGGCGGCGGGGATCGCGTTTGCGATGCTGCGTTTGCGCTCAAACCACTGTGCCGGGATGCCCAGGTACGTCATATAGATGACGCCCATGCCGGTTCCAAAACAGACTCCCTGCGCCAGGAAGAGCTGCCAGATCTTCGTGGCGAAAGAGGCCGCTATCAAGCCTCCGCTCTGGACGATGATGCCCCCAATCAGGGTGGCATGAGTGCCTTGCGTTCGGATCAAGTAGACGGTGAATGGGGCCATCAGGTACGCGCAGCCAATTGATAAGCCGCCCACCATGGAGTAGGCGAAGGAACTGGTCCCGGGAAATACATCGTTGGTCATGTAGTGGGACAGAAATATTCCATAGCTCTGAGCGTGGGTTAATCTCCTGACTGCAGCATCAAAGACTCATGACATGATGATCCATGGACTCACCCCATTGATACCCCACGTATTGACTTGCAGCCAGAACACGCAAGCCACGACCACCCACCCATATCCGCCATCGGGAGCTGGCTGTCCATGCTCAACGGTCATATCCTGCTTCACTGTCGACTCTTGGCTTGGGCGATCAGTATCTTCATGTTGTGCATCATCCGATCCGCCACCAAGATGCTTGATCTGCTTCTCCTGCATTGAATCCATTTTGGTAAAACACAGCACAAACTATCACGGAATCCCTGTCCGGTGTAAGCACATCATGAATCTCCCACAAAGAAAACAGCGGTGCGGAGAATTAAATAGCACGAGCATCCGAAGCTCTTGTCAAGAGCTTGCTTCCCAGAGGAAAGGACAGAAAAAAAAAACACCGCCGACGACATTCTGCATCCAAAATTCTCCGCACCGAACACGCAGAACAACCTACTCCACAGGGCTGGAATGTGCCCGTTACCAAAATTGGAAGAAACCGCCCCGAAGGGAAGCTTCATAGCCAAACGTTCGGACCTCAGACGACATGATTCCTGATTTTGGGGATCCTCCAGATTGCAAGGGAGGTGTAGCGCTTGCGCAATGCGACGAAGGGGCCGAGGTTTTCAGGTGTCTATCTTGCCTCTTGTGGAATACCTCTGGTATGGAAGATGAAGAATGCTGCCATCTCCAGTGGTTGTTGCACATCATCGCCCGAATAGAGCGGTATCCCTTGCTTTGTTGGAAGAGCTGATCAACAGAAGAGTAAGTTGATCGGGTTCATGAAACGTTGTATGCTGCTATGAATTGGATGAGGAGAATAGGCTCTTGTGTGTTTGGGGATGAGAGCTGGGCCGGCACCTGATCTCCGACCCTTTGCGCCATGAATCATCCATCATCATCTGAGTGGGCACAAAGCATAGATGAGAGGTCCGTTTCAGAAGCGTACCTTTCTTTGCGCGTCTCATGACATCATCGTGCTGAATCTCCTACCGAGTAGCATGCAGATCTGTGTTGCCCTCCAGGAACACCCTCGCGAGCAATTGAGACACGGCCTTTCAAGTCAACAGCCTAATCTGCTGACACAGAAACCAAGTATTCTGGCCGGACAATAGCACCAAAACGCAGATGATGAATCTGATAAGACTACCGATGCTTATCTTTGCAAAGATCCCTCTAGAATGATGATGTCGATGGCGCCCGACAAGCTTTTGAGAATTGTCGATAAGACCGGCTCAAAATAGAAGCTCATGGAGCTGAACCATTTAGGAAAGCATGTGCGTGCCACCGGAAGACAGACGCATGTCAATAGGTGGCGATATCCCATCAGACTCTTTTGACATGCGCAAGAACTAGCGCGTCATTGTTATTGTGAGATCTACATCCCAGGTGGGTGCGGCTGGTCGGCCTCTTCTGCCGCTTTTCTCGATCACCAGCAGGAAGGGCCCATGCCCGCCTGCCTTCAATCGCGATTTCCGCTTGAAGGTGGGACAAATGTATACACCGTGCTCGTCTTGATCGTCCGATGTTCATGTAGGACCTGCCAATCTCCCTTCGGACTGTAGTCCTAGATTTCCCAGTTCATGACTACTGTCGACCCCGCAATGCTGGAAGACGCGCGTCCTTCCAACTTGAAAGTTGTACAGTGTGAGCAAGAATCTAGGTGATGCTAGGTGTGTTGTGCATAGCATCAATGTCTCCACCAGCCTGCCTGAATTTGAAGCACAGTGGTCAATCGGCCACTGGTCGGTTTACGTATAGGCATACATACAAACCATGACCTGGCCAATCCAAAATTATGATCTTCGACTGTTGTTTGAGCATGGAATCCATTGACGACTTTTGAGCGAAAATAGGATCACAAATCTGAATGTGTGGTCTAATGGTAAGTCGGCAGGTGTGCTTCCACCTCAAACCGAAAGGAACTGTCACAGTTCCAGATGAGCGTTTCAGAGTCAAACAAGCCTTGCTGGTACGTCATGAAAGCTGCGTTTACTTAAGCTGTGATTGAGCAGGTGGAGGTCGAATGCTACCAAATTTGTCCGGTATGGCATGGCTCCCGGTCCAATGGGAGGCGAGACATACGCGTCGAGTAATTTGACAAATTAGCTTCAGGCATGAGACAAGTCATCCTCCGCTGGAAGTGCTCCCCCGGCCTGCAATTGAAGAGCAACGTCATCGACTTCCTTCCACACTCGTAACAAATTACCTCCAGCTACCTTTCCTGCATCCTCATCACTGACACCTCGCTTCAACAACTCCGCGATCAAATCCGGGTACTTGGACACATCCTCAAGACCCTGGGGAACAGTGGGTATGCCGTCAAAGTCACTTCCTAGGCCAACATGATCAAAGCCAATTAGTTCGCCAATATGCACAATGTGATCCACAACGTGCGCCAGGGTGGCAGTCTCGGGCTCGAAATGAGGGAGCCCGTTGGGATCCTCCGAGGCCGTGCACGAAACAAAATCCGGAGAGAAATTGACCATAACCAGTGACCTGCGTGCTCTGACCAGCTCCAAGATATCGTCAGGGACATTGCGTGGGTGAGGACAGACGGCATGCGCAGAGCTGTGACTGAAGATGACTGGCGCGCGGCTGCCGGTCCAGTCATCCTTTCCGGCCCCTAGGACATCGCGCATCGTGTCTTTGCTCACATGGGACAAGTCGACAATCATGCCGAGTCGGTTCATCTCGTGGACGAGCGTTTTACCCGCTTCGCTGACTCCGTGCCAGAAAGCGTCCGCTTTCTTGATTCCACCCGGGATCTCAACGAGGGCCGCATCGGCATACCGGTTGTGGCAGTTATGGGTGAGTGTGGCATACGAAACACCACGCGCATGAAAGTCTCGCAATTGGGCCAATGAGTTTCCGATCGAGTGTAGCCCTTCCATCCCAAGTGGGGAGATGATCTTCCCGTCGCGAAAAGCTTGGAGAGCAGTCGTGCCATTCGGAGGCGCGGAGAAAGTATCGGGGTAAGACTGCTGTAGGCGCAACATAACGTCTACCTGCTCAATTGTCTGGCGGACGCCTAACAGACGCAGTTAGTCACCTTTACCTGCAAGTAGAAGTAAACCGGGCGACAACTCACTGATCGCGTAGTTCGCGTCGGAGAAATCGGTCCAGTTGGCGGGACACTGGACGAAGACACTCCAGAAAGTGCCACCGACCCTGCCTTTGGCTAGTCTAGGTAGATCCACATGGCCTACCAAGTCGCCTTCGGTAAATGGAGTTTTGAAATTGTCGTCGTAGATGTGATTTTGGAATCTTTCTCGGATGAAAATTGGAAGGTCATCATGGCCGTCTGTACGGGCACATATTAGTTATATATCAGACACGAACGAGTTGTTGAGAAAGGACTTACCGATGAGAGGTGTTTCCGTCAAGATCCTCTCCACTCGCTGCTCGATGGAGAGTGGGAGACTGCATTTACGAGCACCAATCATACGAGTGTTGCTCAAGACAGCCAGAAGGCACGCAGCAATAAGAGTCAGGGCCAAGCGACTCTTGTTGCGTGCGCAGAAAGATCGGGTCTGTGTATGATGTGCGACATCTGATAGATACACTCCCGATTCAGGGTCAAGCTTGGTGTCCATTGTTCAAAGGTAGGAGGCTGGAACGATAGTTATACAGCAGCTTTCTCCGTTTCCACTTGATAGTCTGTGTGGAATCGAGGGAGGAGGTCACGAATGAGGAGGTGATGCGGTATTACTCAGTACGAAGAAGCAATGCGTTCCTGCATGCTTATCTTTCAGCACAGCAAATTGTCGACCTGAAGAAGCCAATCGATCGGTGACCCGTGGAGACCAACAATCAAGCTTTTTTGTATGTACAGTCTAAAGGCAGCAAGAGTTCATATGTGCTTGTTGGAAGAAAAGAAAGACAGTGGCATCACATCAGATCCAAAGGAATCGTCGCCATACTGGCTCTCCATTTAATCAAGACGTTATCAGCGCCGACAAGGGAAATGGATGACAAATCACCGCGATTACCCGATAAGGCAGGGTAAATGCGGGAGCCAATCACCGCTTGTCCAAAAAAAATCCTTGAGAAACGCCGAGATGCCGCTTTACACAGCATGGATCTTCCTTGTAGGCCTTGTTTATTTCCATTTTTGGGATTTATAGTATCGATATGTATTCGCTTCGAAATTCGAGAAATATAGTTTGATCATAATCTTTCAAATCGTTCCCCCCTCGCATCGTGGTGGTAATTGTAATGCTATGAATATCTCTGGGCCCAATCAACCCCTCCCCAAGTAAAGTGTTTCCGCCCACTTAATCCGACCCGCCGTTTCTCGGCTCTTTCTTTTCATCGTTTGTCCCCAAGGCAAGGCCGTCTGCTTTGATCCTCAAAGGCAAACGGAGAATAGGCGAGAAGCAGAACCCAGGGGCTCGGCTATCTCATTCTTCCAATCATGGCAGAATTTGCTGTAGACGAAGGTAAGCGTTACACTCGTGCTCGCGCACCGTCCTCGTGCTGATTATTCGCCCTGTTTCAGGTCTGCTGGCCTTGTGGCATTTCTATCGTCTGCCGCTGCTCCTCGCTCTCGTCGCTGCGTTTACTTTCATTCGCTTCTATCGTACACTTCAACCCAAGTCTAGAACGGCCACTGCCTCCTCGATCCCACCGTCCCCTCGAAGCCTTTCTCCAGAGAAGAGTGAAAAGCTTGCGATCGGATACGACGACGAAGTCACCAAGGTCGAGAAGTCGACCATCCAAACTATCGCCGAGAGGGAGAAAGCGCCCAAGTCTGCAGCTGGTCCCAAGAGAGTGTCCGGAAAGAAGCCCTCAAAGGTCGCTGGCCGACGTGCCGGTTCCGACCAGGATCACCAGCCTTTGTCCTTCATCCAGCCCATCATCTTCTACGCCTCGTTGACCGCTACAACTGAGAAATATGCGCAGGTGTTGCTTGAAGACCTGCGCGCCGCCGCCCAAGAACGAGCCGATCCGGAGAACCGTGAGCGGGCCATTCTTCCTCCTCAGATCCATGACCTCTCCTACGTTGATTTCGATGATTACTTCGCCGCTGCACCCAAGCCTCCGTCCAACTCGCCCGGAACGCGCTACGTTTACTGCTTGCTGATCCCCTCGTACAACATTGATACTATTCTGAACACTTTCCTTGGCCACCTTGACGAAACCCACAATGACTTCCGCATCGATACCGCGCCGCTCTCGTCTCTGGCTGGCTACGCTGTCTTTGGTTTCGGTGACAAGGAAGGATGGCCGACCGAGGAGGAGGGATACTGCTACCAAGCCAAGGAACTCGATCGGTGGATGGCGAAGCTTACGGGTCGGAAGCGGGCGTATCCCCTTGGACTTGGCGATGTCAAAGGTGATGCGGAAGCTGCTTTGAAAGAATGGTCTCATGGTCTTCAAGATATCCTGGGTGACATCTTGGAAAATGGTGGATTGGGTGAGGGTGTTCCTGGCAGCGGTGACCCTCTCGAAAGTGACGAGGAGGACCTGGAGGAAGAAGGCTCTGATGACAGTTCTAAGAAGAACCGGAAACGTAACAAGGCTCAAGATGTGGTTGACCTGGAAGACATCAAGTTCAGCGCTGATAGCCAGAGCGGATCGGGAGCCCCTGTTCCCGTTGACTTCACTACCGCGGGCGCTTCTCCTGCGTCCGCTATTCAACCCACTGAGAAGGAAATGGTCCCGAAGACATCGCCAACCTACGCAGCCCTTACCAAACAAGGCTACACCATTGTTGGTTCCCACTCGGGTGTCAAGATCTGTCGCTGGACTAAGTCCGCGTTGCGTGGCCGTGGCTCCTGTTACAAATTCTCGTTCTATGGTATCCGCTCGCACCTTTGCATGGAAGCTACCCCGTCCCTTTCCTGCAGCAACAAATGTATCTTCTGCTGGAGACATGGCACTAACCCGGTTGGCACAACTTGGCGTTGGAAGGTGGATTCTCCTGACCTGATCTTCAATGGTATCAAGGAGGGTCATTACAAAAAGATCAAGATGATGCGTGGTGTTCCCGGGGTGCGTGCTGAACGATTCGCGGAGGCCATGCGCATCCGCCACTGCGCTCTCAGCTTGGTGGGCGAACCGATCTTCTATCCTCACATCAACCAGTTCTTGGACATGCTGCACAGCGAGCGCATTTCTAGCTTCCTTGTCTGCAATGCTCAACATCCCGACCAGCTCGAGACCCTCAACCGAGTGACTCAGTTGTACGTTTCCATTGACGCGAGCAACCGGGAAAGTCTGAGAAAGATTGACCGTCCTCTTCACCGTGACTTCTGGGAGCGTTTCCAGCGTTGTCTGGACATTCTTCGCGAGAAGCGTCACATGCAGCGCACTGTCTTCCGTCTTACGCTGGTGAAGGGATTCAATGTGGACGACGAGGTCATTGGATATGCGAACCTGGTTGAGAAGGCACTGCCTTGCTTCATCGAGATCAAGGGCGTTACTTACTGTGGTACTAGCACCAGTGCGGGAGCTGGGCTGACTATGCAGAACGTGCCTTTCTACGAGGAAATCCAGGAGTTTGTCACCTCCCTTAACAAGGAGTTGGAGCGCCGCGGTCTCAAGTATGGACTCGCCGCGGAGCATGCTCACAGCTGCTGTGCACTTATTGCATCGGAGCGCTTCCACGTGAACGGAAAGTGGCACTCGCGGATCGATTACGACCGCTTCTTCGAACTTTTGGAGAAGGAGAAGGCAGACGGCACCCCCTTCAAACCCGAGGATTACATGAGTGAAACGCTCGAGTGGGCCTTGTGGGGCAACGGCGGCTTTGACCCCAACGATGAGCGTGTGTACAAGAAAGGCAAGAAGAAGGGCCTCCAAGCTGCAGCGGCAGCTCAGGATTGATTGAACTTGTCTCCTGTCATGTTCAAGTACCGTGCCACCCCTATGAGCGCCATAAAGGCCCTTTGAGGCCTACCTCATGGCCCGTCTATCAAATGGCACACAATCATTTTCGAATCGATTCCGCAGCTGTGAAAGAATTCAGGAGCACCATCCTATCGAAAAACCCACTTAGCTGTCAGGCCATGGCCGACGAACCCAGCTTGCACCGAGTGCAGCTACCGTGAAAAGCGAAGCAACAAAACCGGGCCATTCTGCGCCCAGCGTCTCACAGACGCCAAAAATCTTCCCAATTTCTAGCCAAGACCGTCGGACAACAGTATATACTCCAGCCGAAGTCAGCTGATGTGCCAGTGACAAGGCTGGCTGGATTTCTTCTATGATTCATGTATTTAGTCGAGGAACCATGACGAATTCTAGCTATATTTTGATTATCATGCATACTTAGTGTCCATGTCAGATTCAAACTAACCAATACTTTCTCAGTGGTCAAACGGACGGTCGTTTTCAAATTGACAACTCAAGCATCACCACTAGTCATTCATTGCTTCTAACCAGTTTCGGGATGAAAGGTCATTCCTGAGGTTCTGGTTTTGTGGCTGGCAGAGTGACGGCCTGCTTAGATAATGACGAAGGAAGAGATGTGATTCAACAAGTAAGAGTCTCATTAACTGAATCCGCTTTGTAACAACGTTGCTTCTCAAACACATCATTGCCAGAGATCACCGGCATCATCAAAGTCGTCAACACAGAGCGAGAAGCATGACGCTACTGGGCGATAGGGAATAACTGGCCACCCGAAGGTCCGAGCAGTCAGTCAGACACCCAACCTGACTGTCACCTCATCCATTTCAGGTGACCATTTTCTGAACTCCTTCGTCGGCAGATGGTTTCCGAACATACGTTCAATCTCAGTTGGAGTTCGGTTTCTCATCTCCGGCACGAGAAACCATGTTATCACCAGTGCCACGATACTGGAGGCGGAGAACAGGAACCCTGTTTTGGCGCCCAATGCGCCTTGGTCCGGGTTGAATGCATAGGGCAGTACCAGACCGGCAACCCCAGTTGCCAGACAATTGACGAGCCATCCTAGTCCTTGCGTCTTGGCGCGGAGCCGTAGGGAAGATGTCTCCGCGCCCACGGCGTAGGTCGCCGGCCATGCCCCAGCTCCGTTGAAGACGACGACCAAACAGAAAGTCACAGCCGAGTACCTATCGGTCATTAGCAGACGTGCCCCCTTAGCCTGCCACTTGAGGAGTGGAAGACAACTAACCAGACAGTGACTTCTCCATGAAAACAGCCGGCAATGCCCATACCCAGCCACAACAGTGCGATGATCCCCAAGCTTGCAATGATGAGCGACACCCGGCCAAATCGCGACAGCGTCCAGAAGCTGAAGATGTTGGCTGCTAACCCCAGCCCCAAGCTGACTTGCAGCATCATAATGCTTGTATTCGCTCCCATGCCGATGATCTGCAAGAAATAGCTGGCTTTCGCCAACAGCACGAGTCCCAGCATATTCGGGATTATGTTCACGAAGAGGACGATGATCGTGCGTCGCCGGTTGACACCCACGAAACACTCGCGGTATCCCGCGGATTCTTGCTCCCCGAGCTGTGCGGATGCGCGCAGCTGCTGGATCTTGGCCATGGAGTCCACCTCGGCGGAATCCAGTCGTTTCTGTGCTTTGAGCGCTTCGTCCAGTCGGCTCTGGCGAACGAGATGCGTAGGGCTCTCAGGGATCATGACGGACACTAAAAGGGACAGAGCTGAGAAGGGCCATTGCGAAAGGAAGCAGTTGAGGTAACCTCTCGCGCCGGGAGTGTGGAGGGCATTCCGGACCACAGCGCTGCCTACCAACTGACCCACGAGTGTGAAGATGGGAAAGAGGGCGAGAGTCGGCCCTCGTAGCAAGGTGGGTAGGACTTCTGACATATAGGTCTCAGCCGTGCATACGACCATGTACACGGCGAATCCCTGAACCAATTTTCCCACTAAGAAGATAGCCCTGCGGTCGTCGATCTGGGTCGCAAGATTGGAGACATACAACACGGCGACTGCTATGGCGGAAAGCAGGCTGGCGATGGCTAACGAAAAGCGGCGACCGATACGGTCCTGGACAAAGCCGCCCGCAATCGCACCGAACAAGCCCCCGATCGGGCCGGCCACGCTCCAGAGGCTCAGCCAGACAGAGGGAATGATCAGTTGTCCCTTCAATCCCCGACCATAGTCACGCCTTGCGATTGTGAGTACTGAAGAGGTAGACCGCGGGGTGCAAGAAACCTCTTACTGGAACTGTGGCATGGATGACACATTGCTCACAATGACCATATCATACCCGTACAGCAGGATGCCGGCAGTCAGAGCAAGGCAGTAGCCCAAGATTTTATAGGATTGCTTGATGGTCGCCCACACCGTCGGCTGGGAGGTGGATCGAACGTCCTCAGTTGATGAATTGACATGGTCGCTGTTCGGGGCATCTGCGTCTCCTGAATGAATCTGAGCAGATTTCGACTCCGTCATATCGCATATGCTGGCTGCCCGTGGGGGTTTGGCCTCAACCTCTGTCTCGGTCGCCCATTATGTACTCCAGGCTCACGGCTTGACTTAACTCCGCAAACACGGGGAAAATGCTGGACATTTCACTCAAACAAAGCAAGCAGAGTTTCCAAGACGTTGCACACTGCAGGGCAACGCTGTCCTCCCCAGCCACAGGAGGGTTTGTGTGGTCAGTTGCGAGCGGCCGCAGGCGGTTGCGCAGCCATCTTAAGGTCGCATTGCCCTGGGATTCAGCGGTTGTGATTCTGACGGTTGGAACCAGCGAATGGGTGAGTTCTGGGCAAGGAAGCAAACATGCAGCATCTGCTCTCTGCACTAAGCAGCAGCTGTCCGAGGCTTGGTGATCGAGCCTCGAGTCCCAGTCGCTAGGGTTCATCCTTGGGCAAGTCAATCCCGGGCTTGTATGGTCCACCACTACGCAACGGGGCAACGAACGACGCTAACTTAGTCACTTGGCGCGTCAGCCACAGATTTTCCGTATGAGTATCTTGTGATTGCCACTTCGCATTGGATGCATCAGTCATCTATGCATGTGTACAATCTGTGTCCTTGACATCAATCTCGCGAATGAATTTTCGTTGCTGCTCATCTTGTGCTGTGCATCGTCTTCGACCGAGTATCTCGTCGCTTGGGGTTTGTACGGAAAGGGCGCCCGTCTCACGTGAAGCGGAAGTTACCGAAACTCACTCACAAAACACGGCAAAGAGACGCAGCCGATTCCAACCCTGCCAGGTTCCTTCTGATGCTGCACGCTGTAGATCAGGTTTATTATTGGGCCAACATTTCGCTCGCATGCTGCACCAATTTGCCCGGTTCGGAGAGTTTCCCCCCTGCCTGGCGAGTCAGAAAGTCTGGTTCTGTCATGTTCGGCAAAAGGAGACTGGAGACACCATCCGCACCGCACCATTGTCTGGTTTTCCCGATCCGCGTGGGTTTGGCGTGGGCAGGATCGACACCGGTAATAAGACGTCAAACAGTCCCGTGGATGGGGGGTTGGTCCAGTCGGGTTGGGTTTTGACACTTTTGACAGATATGGAGTTGGCAGCTGTCTGTGGTTATTTTCTTTTTTTTTTCTAGTTTCCCATTGATAGTCACCGCGGCACTCGGAAAGGACATCCATGATCCATCTTTTTGTCTGGTGCTAAATTTAACAGGGGCCAAGTTGGATCTGCCCCGTTCATTTTTTAGGGTGGGCACCGGCTCTGTTGCACATTGCTTGAATTGGGAATAGGCGAACCGCCCAGTTGGGACGTGCCCGCTCCGGCAGGGGAGGAACATTAAGATTGCCATTGCCAGTTGCCAATAGTACAATACCATTCATGTGCCCAGGAAACATTCCCCTGATTCCCTGAAGGACCTTCCTTCTTTCCTTCCTTCGACTCCTGCCTAAGCCTCCTAGGATAATGGGGATTGTACTTGATGGGTCGGTCCCGAGTCCCAGTCGCGTGTGACCGGTCACCCTGGATTGGCTTTCTAGAAGTCTGCAGGTCCGACAACGCATTTACTTCTTTGATCCTGGTTTCCGTTTTCCCTGGGCCTCCGAGGAGTCCGGGATCCTTGAGATCCACTCACGCGTGGCAGCCCAAACCCGCAGGAATGAGGGGAAGGGCGTTTCGTCTAAAGTGCCAGTCGCATAGAATCAGCGTCATGACTGCCCGGTAATCCCGAAGAAGGCGACAATCGCACGTGGGAATGCTCGGACTGATGGCGATGGCGATGGCGATGGGGATTGATTACATAGTAGACTACTAGTAACTAACTTATTGGCATCCGTGGATTGTTGATTGATTTTAATCTAGGGTTGGCGGAAGTCACCTGGAGGGGGCGGGATGGGGGCGCGGATGGCGGCGAATGCGAGCTTTGATCCATGGGTTCTGCCAATTCTGCACAACATTCAAACCATCAAAACCATAATCGATCCCAGAGCCATGGATAGTTCGTCTCCGGTGACGGATGGCTTGCGCCCTCATGACTTTCCCTTTTTCGCCTTCTTGCTTGTGTTCTCAATCCACCAATTCTTTTCTTACTCTTACTCCTGACTCGACTGTCGGAGAATCTACCCAATGCGGAGATACAACCGAGGCCGAGTGGAGTCACCCCCGTTTCCGGCCATTGACGTGAAATTATCCCCGGTGCAGCAGGATAACCTTTAACACTATCAGAGACTAATCGTGTCGTCGCTCTGACCACAACGGCTCGGTGGGGGAAGGGGGGGGGGGGGGGGAGAATTGCTCTTTGCCACGATTCCACGACGCAAGCATCCGCACCAACAATCCTCATGGTTTTTAATCTCGGGAGAATGGAACCCCTCTCCGCGACAAGTACGGAGTAGTAGTGATGATCTCATTCCCGAAATGGCTGCTCGTACTGAGTCCAGTTGCTCTAAGCGAAGGGGTTCTTGGCTTTCCTGGATTCTCTTCAGCCCAGGGCTGCCCAGGATACACTCGGTGGGTGGATTCGTTAGACTTTGGACCGGCGCACCGTCGATCTCGGTCTGCAGAGAGAGAGAGAGAGAAAGTAGAAGGGCGGCGATGTGCAGACACAACCCTAGACCAGTTTAGCCTGCTACACTATATGATCACCTCCGACCCGAACGACCAGGGCCAGACGGTCGACCGACTGGATTAGCGTGCCTGAAGTCACCCTCCCCGGGCCCTCTAGACCGTGTGTGGAAGTGGAAACGGACGTGCAACACTTTTGAAGGTTTTCCCTTACGTCTCCCCTTCCCGAGTTCCCTTCTTCCCCATCGTTCACTCAAATACCGGTTGCGGTTCCCTTCGACCCCTACCTCTAGTGCTTTGTTTCTCTTCTCTCTCGCTTCTCTGTTCTTGCTTCCTTAGTCCTCCGGATTATGCCTTGCGTCTTGCAACGATAGCATGGCAGCAGAGGACCGCAGCCCGGAGGTTAAGGCGGTTGCCGCCGTCTTTATGTCCGTGGCCTGCATTGCGGTGATACTGCGATGCTATGTGCGCGGATGGATTGTTCGAGCGTTCGGGGTTGATGATTGGGCTATGGTCGTTGCTATGGTGAGTTACGACTACCTGTCAACTGGTGGTCGTGATGAGTGGGACGAGAAAGCTGATATTCTCCATCCCTAGTTATTCTACTGCATGTTCTCCGGATGTATGATCGGAGGAGCCATCTACGGCACAGGCCGACACTTCAGTGTCCTGGATGCGCACCAGCGCGTGACAGCCATGAAGGTACGATTCGTCCCGGAGAAGCTCGAGAATGCCGATGGTGCGTGCTAACATTCCATCCACAACAGTACTGGTGGTTCTGCGAAATCGCGTACTGTTTCTCCGCCATGGGCTGCAAGATCTCCGTGTGCATCTTCTTGCTGCGCATCACCGTGAAGCGCATGCACATCTGGCTCCTGCGCATCGTGATGGTCCTGACCGTCGTCGCCGCCCTGGTCTTCATGTTCCTGATGCTGCTGCAGTGCAGGCCCGTCTCCTATTTCTGGACGCGCAAGGCCTTCGACGATAGCATCCACGGCGTCTGCATCAACATGGAGATCATCATCGCCATGACCTACGTGTACAGCGCGTTTGCGGCGCTGTGCGATTTCACCGTGGGCATCTTGCCGTTCTTCATCGTCAAGAACCTGCACATGCGGAAGCAGACGAAGATGGCGGTTGTGGGCATTCTGGGCATGGCTTGCATGTATGTTTAATTTTCGTCGGAGTGGGATGGCAGACTGACTGACGACCGAATTCTAGTGCCTCATCCGCGACGATCATCCGCATTCCTTGGGTGCATACCTTTGACGACCCGGACTTTCTCTGTACGTTTTCTCCGCTCCTCCCAGCCTGCCCATCTTCCAAGCTAATCCTTGTTGTTTCCCTCTAGATGCCACCGTCGAAATCGCTCTCTGGTCCAACATCGAAACCGGCCTCGGCATCACGGCCGGTAGTCTCGCGACCCTGCGCCCCCTCGTCCGCCACTGGCTGGGCTCTCACTCCGACCCCAACTACTACGACCGCTCCCCCTTCGGCGGGCCCTCCGGGTCGCGTCGCATCGGCGGCGGCGCCAGCAACAACCCCCACCACCACGCCCGCTCCCACGAACGGCCCATGCCGCTGGGGTCGCTGGACGAAGCCGCCGTGCAAGGGCGCCTCCGCCCGGACAAGCTGGCGGTGACGGTGACCACGATCCACAGCCAGCGGGGGCCGCTGACCTCGTCGAACAGCAGCGAGGAGCAGCTGACGGCGGGGCTGTCGGGCGAACGATCGCCCGGCAGCAAGGATAGCCGAGGCCGCCGCGACCGCGACCCGGAGTCGCATCCGGGATCCGCGGGGGGTCCCCGCCCCGGCGGCGGCGGCGGCTTCGGCGGGATTCAGCGTACCTTCGAGGTGACGCAGACCTCGTCGGCCGGGGATGATTCGTGTCATGAGCATAGTATGGTTTAAGTGTTTGTTTGCGTCGTGTACGACTACTGTACAGAATTATACCCTTGGTTGTATTTGTCTGGTCTGTGGCAAGTTGTATGAGTATTTTGGGTTGGATGGGATGGCATGGGATGTATATACCACTGAAGTTATGATGACATTTTCCTTTGTTATGCAGTACTATCATCTTGCTTTCTACAGAGTCCTTGCCTTGAGGCTATTCAATCAGAGTCCATGAACCGGTCCGACAACAACAAACCACCCCCATCCCTACTTCACAGGATGGATAATAGCAAAAGTTGATTACTACCAATAACCACCTGCCTAAACCAGCCAAGCGGCCGGCAGCTTTCCCCGGGGGGCGGGGGAGCCTTTTAAACTTCGGCAAGCAAGGGCGCAAAGTACCTAGCAAGGTTTCAAGCAAAGTCTCCTGCATGAAGCCTGATTATCGAGGCAAGAATGGGGATTGGGATCTCGAGACGAGCACCCGCAGTAGCAGATGAAACACCTCACATTTGCTCCGTACTGGTCTGACTCGTGGGGGAACAGACCTTGCTGAATGCCGTTAGCTGCGAGTTAAGGTTTCCAGAGGGCACCGGAGCCGGACGGACCCAGCGTTCGCTCTCGGGAGTTGAGACTCGAGATTCTAGATCCTTTTGGAATCATTATGATGTATCTGTTTCTGCTGGGGGGGCGTGCGGTGTATCCATGGTTGGGAGGGGGGATTAGTCAGTTCTTGGGTTGAGGTGGGTAGCTCATATACGGAGACTCGGCCGGCGAATGGTACATGTACATGTACAGCTCTAATTCTATGTTGATGGGACTTTGTTGATGGGTCTTTGGAACTACTGTTCCCTACCGATGTTTCTTGGGTTTATCTTGATTCTGAACAGGTGATTCAGTATTGTCGTCTAGATCGGAGCGGTTAGCATATGCAGGTTGACCACCACGGTAGTCGGTGTTTCTGGTAAGTTCAGTAAATCCAAAGTTTCAATCAGAGGATAGATCTCTGGTACCCAGATCCACCAGTCTGTGCATAGCAAACCAGTGCTGAACTATCTAGTCCTGTTGAACTTCACTAAGAAAAGTCAACAACAAAACCAGGGTATACTATACTTACACAACACAACTTTCCTCCTCCACCAGCGCTAGATTCATCGCTCCACTAACGAGATGATGCATACACTGCACTAACACTCTCAACACCAAATACTCAAACCATGATATCGAAAGCGCGAGCAACACAAAACCAGAGTACAGAACCCCCCCCACTAGAGTATGCAGTTGCAGTTGCACAGTCCCTTATCACCCTGCGACCCAACTGAGTGATCCGCTTCCCCACCCCTCGATAAGATCTATCCATCACCACCCCCCCAAACCCAAAACCCCAATAGGCCGGAGATCGCATCCGGCCCTACTCTGTCCTGTACTTCCTCAAGCTCCAGGCTCATCCTTTTGGGTACTGTATACGAACGACCACCTCAGCCACAGCAGCCCAAGAATTGATTATTCCCGAGCAGAGCCACCCACGCAACGCAACGCAGCGCAACGCCACAAACCCCAACCCCAGCGCCAGAAAACCATCCGTCATCGACGCAAATCGATCATCGATCCGATCGCCCATCTCGATCCCACGCCGGAATCCCGATCGCACCACACCACGCGGCCACACCTTTCTTTGTAAGGTTATGCGGTGCTATGCTGTGTCCTGCTGACTTCAGGGGCGGTGATCCAATCAGAGATCAAAACGAGGGGGGCAAGGGGGGGACAAAGATCGATCGGGAATCGTGGGCCATCGAGCCCATCGATCTAGCGATCGAGATCGAGATCGAGATCGCATCGCTGGTTCTACGGGGGGTGATTGATGGGTTGATGGGTTGGGGGATTGGTGTAGATTCTGGATGACTACTCAAGCGGTTCATGTGTAGTTAGTTATCGGTGATGAAGGCGAGGAAGAAGTGGGGTGGAAATGGGGCTTTGTGATGGGTTTGTTGATCTAGCATGTGATTGAACCCTGATGTCTAGTTAATTCACCAGATCAAGCGATGTAGGAGGGTCTAATACTATAGTGACTAGTGGGGCAGGGACATACTGTAGATGAGTTTGTCCTGCAGCAGCAGTACAGTAGGAACGACTGTGGCGGCGCCACGACACAGTATTATAGGGTTCTCTTCTGGTCATCTACAAATGAATTGGCCGGGTCGCTGACCAGTATTCCAAGAACTGAAGGATACGATCTCGGAGTGTCGGCTTGTTGAACGAACCAAGGGGTGACGGATCGGTCAACTGCGAGGTTGGGCGCCGAACAGCCCGCCCTCTCTGCTGCATACCAGGGATCTTGTGCGTGCATCGCGGTGGAGTGAATCAATGGCCGCAGTTCTCTGGATCTATACATCAACGAGTAAGTTGAGGTTGAGTATTGTAGTATAGATATTCCAAACAGAAAGATGGACTTTATCCTCACCGGGGGTTTTCTTCGAGAAATTGCGGGAGAGGGAGGTAACGAACCGGGCAAGCGTTGTTAGCTGATGCCAATACCATGATATCTATGCCGACTCAAGTATCGAGTTGGTGTTGGCGGGGGGCAGCAATATACTAGAACTCGGCATCGGTCAATATCTCGGGGTCGGGCTCGACATTCTGACGGTAGAGCCGAAACGACCGTTACAATACGCGGTGTTTCGGTCTGATACTCGGCTTTCGGTGAAAAAGTTTAAACCTAACTACCTACCTAGTATCCTTTTGAGTCAGGCATGACACATCGACGAATGTCTGGTCCAGAAGCATTGAAGAAGGGTGGCTGAGTATAGAATGCCTTCTGATTGGACTGTAGACAAAAGAAAGAAAGCGAGGGAAAACAACCTTGAAGGACCACTTTGATGGATACCTGATAGTTATCAAGTCCTATTCCAAAAGACAAGTCTCACACCATTGACGTTTGCGCTAAGTTCAGATACTAAAATAAAACCTCCTCTGAGAGTTATTTGATATATTCACCCAAGCAAAGCAAGTAGATACGCAACCTCATCTCATTCCTCCAAAGCCCGATCACAACCCCCAACTCCGATGCTTCCGCCAATCCTGCCGCGTCGCCTCGTACAAATCATCCACATTGATCAGGTCGACCCCCTCCCTGACCAACACATGCCAAACATGATTCCGCAGCCCCCGCGGCCACCCGGGCGTGCCCCAGTACCGCACCCTCAGCCCGCGGGCGTGCGCGGCGGCGACCTGCGCGCGCACCCGGGCCAACTGCTCCTCCGAGAACCGATTGCCGGCGAGGCTCCCGATCGTCCGCCGGAAGTTCACGGAGGCGTAGTAGCTGTTCGCGCGGGTGTAGTCGTCGTCGTCGTCGTCGTCGTCGTTGGTGACTTGCGATGTCGCTGAAGGCGAGCCGTTTACACTGCTTCCCGACGCTTCCAGCTGGTCGAGCGGCGCATCGTAGAAGACATCGCGGTAGGTCGTGTTGGCGACGACCCGATGGAAGGGGACATCGCCCGTGGCGACGATGGTGAGGGGCCGCTCGACGACCGCCGTGCCGTTGTAGTGCGTCAAAAACCCGCCGGCGCGCAGGGGCTGCAGCTGCGCCAGCACGGGGTCCCACAGCTCCTCGCCGTCGGTCTTGAAGTCGATCAGCAGGACGAGGGTCTGGGAGGGGTCGGTGGCGAAGACGCCCGCGGGCGGGTGGTGGGTGGCATGGTTGGCGGGCTGGAGCTGGCTGCTGCGCGTGTTATGCTTCTGGAGCAGGTCGAGCAGCGGGTCGAGGTAGAGGCTGCGCAGGGTTAGGTCCGGGTGCAGCGTGAACGGCGTGTGGCCGACCAGCAGGTCGCGGTTGGACGGCCAGATGTCGGCCTCCACGCCGATGCAGCCCGCGCGCAGGGCCGAGTAGAGCGGCACGTCGCGCCAGTAGTCGTTGTGCGAGTGGCAGTGGACGGGCTCCACCCCGTGCGTGGTCCAGTGCGAGAAGATCGAGGGCCGCCCGCCGGGGACGAGCCACGCGTCGAGACGGGCGTCGAGGTCGTCCGGGAAGAGGTATACCAGGCCGGTCCAGGTGATGGAGGCGAGCTTGAACGTGCCGCTGTAGAAGGATCCGGTGTCAGTGGTCGGAGAGACATACATTCAGTCTCAGAGGTCAGATACACTCACAGAACGAACACCACGCCACAGAATAGCCGCCGCAAAGCGTGGATGATTCGAGCTTTTCGGGAGAGCGGGCGTGCAGGGAAGGAGCGACGAGGTCTCGTCCTTTGAGTGTAGAAGCTGCGAAATAGTCCAAGAGGTCCTACAGATCGCCTGCCACTGGCTGACTTCTTTTTCAAGTTGTCTAGTGGTAGAGTCTCAACCTGGGAGTCGTCCATCTCCGAGTCTTCTTCAGGCACCACGTCCAGCGACTGTGGGATGGAAATGGCCCTAGAGGAAGAAGCTGGAGTATATGGTTGGGTGAAAGACATCGCCGGGGACTATCTGTCGCAGTTCACGGACAGGAATTGAGGGAGCATGTTGAGCAGGTCATCTGGGGGTGGGGGATAAGCAGAGGATAAACGATGCGCGACCATCACTATTCTGGTAAGTTGGAAGTGTGGTTACGTTCACAATACCGATGGGTCGGAGCCAAGCCTCAGTTGCCGAAAGCTTGTCTCTCCCTGGAGCTGACGCGGCCTGGCTGAAGAGACCCTTGGGAAGAGATTGGATGAATCTTCAGTACATATAGAGGATGGAACTTGGAAACTAAACTGGCATCCGTACTGTGTATTTTTACTCTCAGCCCATTGGGTCGGTCGGTCAGGTTGTTTGCTGCCGTATTGGCCCGCACAGAGCTCTCAGCTTTAGGCAGCCATGCTAACCAAAGTACAGTACAGTACAGTACAGTACAGTACAGTACAGTACAGTACAGTTCTACTAACAACATACGCTACATCACAGAGGACATTGCACATCAACCATAACCGTCCAGAAGGGAAAGAAGAATCGAGGTAGCCAAATTCTATTATTAGGTCATGAATTCCTCATCGTCAAACCCCAAACACCTCACGGATAGCCATCTGCCACAAAATCGGTGATCTCGGAATTCACCCATTCGAGCGAAGGCTGGGTGCCAAACAGCTCCCACATCTGAGCATTGTTCCACCACGAATTCATCTCGGGCCGTGTTGTCGTATCGAACGATCTGGCACCCTCAATCCCTCCCAAATGGACCGGGCCATTGTAGAGTTGATTGTCCGTGTTCAGTAGGGGGATACCAGCATCTAGTGGGACGTCGGGCTCCTCTGGGTCGAGGTTCATGCTTTGCTGGACAGAGCAGGGACTGGTACTGTCTTCCCTCTCAACAAGGGGACTGCAAAGGACAAGAAATTGAGTAAACAGGTGGTATAGCCTGCCGATTGCAGGGTTGAAGTCGATGAACCGCGAAAGACCCTTGGTGGTGTCGCGCATCAGCTGGAAGTCTTCCACGTTCAGCGTCCCAACCACATTGCAGAACAAGATGTAGAACGGAGTCATGGGGTAAGAAAAAACGGTCCTTGAAGATTCAGAGTTCATCAGGATACGGCATACAAGTAGAGGAAGGGGCTCTACTTACCAGGTCAAGAACATTGGGTAAGCACCAACAAAGGCATTGTCCTCATTAAAAACTATTTGCAGACGGCTCAAAGCCTCGAGCGCATGTCGCGCATGCTGGAGACATTGCTCCCGGTTCTGGACCGTACCCCAGACTCTGGATTTGCACTGTAGTATGGTTGTCACCATAGCGTGAAATCGGAATTCTGCCGCCATCCAATCGAACTGCAGCTCCGGCTTGGAGCTTGCGCGGCGCTAATTGAGGTCAGCACTGCAGCTTAGAATTGAATAAAATTGCTAGGAAACAGCTTGCCTCCTCGATCACGGTCTTCATCGAATCCAACTGCTGGATCATCCCATCGAGCTCGGTCGCAGGGCTGCTTGTATCCCCAGGCCCCGCCCCTCTGTAAAATAGCTCCAATGCAGCCTCTTGGATTTCCGCTAGTTCAACCATGGTTTTGGCGATCATGCTGAGCGATATGCCGTCGTCCACAGGGATGAGTGCGGCAGGGCTTACGCCCAGGCGTGGGAGTGAAGGCGGTCGGAGGAGAAGCATGCTTAGTGACTTATCGAGTAAGTAGCAGGAGAACAGACAGAAGCGGGCATCTTCTTCCTCCTGAGTTCGAGCTGGTGTATCGATGGTAATGCTGTGATGGTTCATGGCAACGAGCAGCCGCGCCGCGAATGCCGTCAACGTCCAGCTCTTGGTAGAATTCCCTTGCATTTGGTGAAGCAATGCCTTTTCGAGGTCTGGTCAGGGCTGTCACATGCAAAGGATATAAAGAAAAATGCAACCTACACCGGACAATAGAGCTTGAACCAAGGAAAGAGAATGAGTCCCGCTCATATCGACTTGATTTAGAGCCTTGAAAGCTGCTAGAGTATATTTACGACGAGTCATTTTGACATGGGTGCAAAGCCGCGGATTCATTTGTCGTTGCCGAAGACGCGCGAGGAAAAAGATAGCTTTGGTATAGACGCAGACCCGATAATGCAGAGATGTCTGACGATCGACTCGACCCTCCGCAAGAGACAGGCTCATATGTTCCAGGCTTTTGACCGAGACGTGGTCGGGCCAATGAAGGTGCTTCACGGGCGAATCTCGGTGTGCTATGTCTGTTTGATGTTAGCGGCGGAGAAGGTAGGATACTCTTCGCGTCTGAACACGAACCCTCTGACATCATGAGGTACGTCTCCAAGGTGAACTCCTCCAGGCCTGATGGATTGGAGTCCTCCAACTCCTTGGTATTCCCTTGGAACGGTCCTTTCTCTAATGATGGCGCAGATATCTTGTTTACAAGAGATAGAGCGCTTTCCAGAATGGTGCGTCGGCTGGAGGATAAGTGGTTGCTTTGCCGCAGTTCCTGTTGAATGGAGCGTCGTGCCTCACAGGCTTGCTGCGTTGCTATGTCCTCGACTGCAGCGGGGGATTCTGTGGCTCGCTGGGATGCCACAACGTCGCCTGTGGCCTTGATATCTGGAGTGCTCATGTTGGAAGCCTGAGAGGTCGTAGGAATCTTTAGTATCATATCGCTGTTATTGTCTGGCTCTTGAAAGTCGTGACTCGGTTCCTGTCTCGTGGATGCCGCAGGAGCATGGGGATTGACGATGTATTGCTCCAGTGTTGACAGTCTCTTTGACAGTCCCGAGATTCTAGAATATGGTCTGTTACAACCGGAAGCCATTCCAACGAGCAGACGTTTCCATAGCAAGGGATCTGCTCGATAAGAGATCTGGGGACTTACCGCGAAACTCTGGGACGCATACTGCGCCGTGGACGAGCTCTTCGACATTCTGCCTTTGCATCCACGCAATTCATGCAAGGGTCAAGCCGGTCACATTTCACCTATAGCAGCCATTATCTTAGGAGACATGTTGGAGAAGAAAGTATAGCGACTGGTGTCACGGTTCTTGCCACTGACCTTTCTGGAGTGGCAGAGGTCGCACTTGTCAAGGTTGTTGATGAATGTCAGCGTGGTGTCAGATCTGCGCTTGTCGCGATTTGTGGGATGGAGAGGAGACAGGAAGACTGCAAAGTTTCACCAAGCCACTAACATGCTAGGACAGAAGACGTACAGCGGATCTTTCCAGAATCACCTGAGACGCCATTCTGCCATTGAAGCACCAACGACGACGCACCCTTGGCGTGGAGTTATCTTCTTTCCTTTCCCCGGGCTATTGATATTCGGAAGTCCGAGCATCCGCCCCAAATTGGCGATGTCTGCTTGCTGGGCGTGGCACGAGACACTGTCATCACGATGAAGTGCAGAAGTAAGAGATGGAGGCCCGTCAGATCTGATAAGAAATCGGCCTACTGGTGGTGGATGTTGTTGTTGGCCTTGTTTGTTCATCCAACCCCTGGCTGTGGGTATTTTATTCTTTGATGCGGTATCGCGGGTTTCGGAGATGTAATCAAAATACCAGACCGAAACATTCGCCACGGTGACCCAGACGCGTGTCTTTGAAGTATGGCTACCATCCGACAAACATCCAAAAGATGTGGACGTATCCTGTTGAATGGGGCCGACAAGTGATCAGTAAGCAGTTAGATAGGTGTAAATGGCTCACTTGTCAGATTCACTGCCGGCAGAATCAGATATTTTACCACTACAAATTCAAGCTTGAGAGTGCCCACTTGGTGCGGCTTAGGTGGGACTGCCAGGCACTCTTGGGTCTGGTATCATGAAGAACGTTTAGCCAGGCCCATGTACTGTACAATCTGTACCAAGTGTGTTGGTCTCGGCAGACCTATCAAAGATTCGATGAAGTCTAAAGTATGCGTACGTAGGTGTCCAGGTATAGTCACAAAATAGGCTCTCAATGAGTATTAAACCAGCATGCTCATCCCACTAGATCCCAAGCCCTATCAAACTCTTTATAAGTCACTTATTGTTTTCTATTCCACTAAGGACGTAGACTTCACCATGAAATGGCTCCTGCGACTATTCCTCTGCTTCAGCATAGCACTCTTCCTCCCCCTGCTTCTCCTGGACTTCCATCTCAGGGATCTGAGCGATCAGTACCAGGCAAAGCAATATGCTATCGACTGGTTCAATTCTTGGGCCTCCCCAACAGGACAGACGACAAATGCGACAGAAGACTATGGTGACAAGGTGATAGTCGTCGCCAAACTACAGGAGGAGAACACCGACTGGATCGAGCAAGAACTGCCCGAGTGAGTGGACATACCATCCTTAACCTCATCATCAGCAAGATAAGTTGGCTAGCATCGCTGAACCACATGTGTGTATGTCTAGTTGGCAACGAGCTCTATACACCGTGAACCCCTCCAAAGAAGCCGTGGCCGACGACCAGCAGCTCAAAACCCCGCTCAACAAGGGCCACGAATCCATGGCCTACCTGACCTACCTGATCGAGCACTACGAGCACCTGCCATCGACCATCGTCTTTCTCCACGCGCATCGCTCGGGGTTCTTCCGGGCGTGGCATGTCGACGCACCGTTGCACGACAACGTATGGTCCATGCGAGCTCTACGGGTCGACTTTGTCCAGCAGAGCGGCTACGTCAACCTGCGATGCAACGCAAACCCGGGATGCGTGAGGCCTGCGTACCCTAACGGTCTTCTAACGCCACAGATCTTCATGGAGGTCTTCAGGAATACCAGCACGCCGCCGGCAGATGACACCGGGGTCATGATGCCGCAGCCGGACGACGGGGGGAAGGCTCTGCAGACTCCGGTCCGGATTGCTGCGCCGTGCTGTGCGCAGTTCGCGGTATCCCGACAGCGGGTGCTGGAAAGACCCCGGGCTGACTACGTGAAGATTCGACAATGGGTCATCGATACGGACCTTGCCGATGCGCACAGCGGTCGCGTGATGGAGTATCTCTGGCACATCATTTTTGGCAAAGAACCCGTGTAGTAAGTCATGCCTTGAGGGCCCTTTGTCGGCAGCGGACTGTGCTAATCAAGCTGGGTTGCAATTGTTCAGCTGTCCGGACTCGACACTGTGCTACTGCCAAGTGTATGGGCGGTGCTGAGCCTTTTTATTCAAAGCCTACTGTAAGCACTATTGGATTTACTGTCAATGCTATCGCTGGGTCCTCGAGTACAGCTGTAATCTGCCTTCAAGCAATAATATACCTATCATCTCAAATCCCGCTCATAGAAACTATGGTATCTTGCAACATTGCAAGGTTGAACCGTTTATGGTATGGCTCGGCAAAAGCTTAGCTTCTAGGTAAAAGATAGGGTTTCCTGTCGAGTACCCTGAGCAGCAGCTCACACAGACAACCTTGAGTCAGAATCAATTTTTGCTACAGTTGACCAGTCTTGCAGCTGAATACCAGCTACTCCCACCATACAGCTTCCCTGCTCCTGCCCCGGTCTAAGCCACAACGCTTACGTCGAAATCTTACGATACATACGCTCTGGTGCTCTGGTATCTCCCTTCATTCTTATCCGTGTTCCCAAATTTGTTCGGAAGTTCGGGCGTCCGAGAGTCAAAACTCCCCTCTCCCCACAACAAGCAACGGTGTATCAACTCGATTCTTGACTTGGAACTCTCATCATGGATGAATACTGAAATCAAAGACATGAGCAGACACGTGGTTAATCCCCAGATTTTGATTGCACACTGGGGCCACTCAAACCCACTTCGGATTTGGTAAAAAGAATTTGAATGCGGAGACCACAAGTGGGTCATCGCCCGGTATTTTTCTTGAACGTAACCAGATTCTTGAGACAAGGGTCCAAATGGACACGTACTTTACGTTGTCTATCGAAAGAGCTATTCTGCTGAATTGTTGGAGGTGCATAAAAATCTTCAACGGCATACAGGAGTCGCAAGGCGGACTGCCGGAAGCATTCACACAGCATAGGTAGGACATGACAGACTAGGGATTGGCAACCCGCAACACACTCTGCGAGCCATCGATAGTGTTGAGCTCGACATCCAGGAACCCCTCGCGATTCTCCACCGGCCTCTGGACATCGCCCCGAAACTCCCCTGGGGCAACCAAGCCCACCCCGAACGCATGGTCCGCTGACCGCGGACCCAGCGCCCAGCCCCAGCCCCTATCTCCCTGCCCAGCTGGGGCGTGATACCAGCGGAAGCCCAGGATCGCAAAGGCAATCCCGATCACACTCCCCCCAATGATATCCCACCCGGCATGCATATAGTCCATATAGCGCGTGCCGCAGATGTAGAGGGCACCCCCGATAGGTATAGCGGACAGCACGAGTAGATAGACGGGTGGAGCAGCAGCCGCCTGGCTGTACGAGTTCCCGTGATGAGCAGGAACAGCACGGGCGACCTTCGCCCCCAGCCAAAGCGACAGGTAGAGCAGGCCCGACCAAGAGAACGAGGAGTGGCCGGACGGAAACGCGGCGAAGCCGTCGCGGAGGGTCTTGGAGCCGGAGGTTTGGCAGATGCGCGTGGTGACCATCACAGGGGCTTCCGGACGCTCCACGCCCAACCCGCTGACGGCGTACGCGGTGATATTGAGGGACAGGTTGGGCTGGCACCGCGCGAGCAGATCCGGCCGGGGCTTGCCCACCACGTCCTTGAGGCCGGAGGTGACGAAGAAGGCGCCGGCGAGGCTGAGACTCAGTCCCAGCCACCCGGCGTGCCATTCCCAGAGGCGGAGTCTCCCAGGGATCGGGAAGAGGAGACTGAGGACGGCGATGAGAAGCGCGGGGACGGCGCAGCAGACGATTCCGACGGTGACGATCGATACGGTGTCGTCTTTCAAGGGATACGATATGCTGGGGTCGTCGAGGGAGAAGACATGTTCGGAGCCGGTGATACTGTATAGGATTGCACCAACAATGACGAGAAGACTGCAAAAGAAAACGTATCAGCGATGGGGGCTCTTCTCGCGCAAGGACCAGCACTACAGACATGATGAACATCCAGTCGAGCACGTAGGAAAATATCAAGCGCTTGGGGGTTCTCCCTGGCTCGCCGGATAGCAAGGCGAAGTCTCTATTGTCTTGCCGCATGGCTGCCATAGTGAATCTCGTACTCCGTAGAATCATCCATATATCTACAGGGACCGCAGAGCACATTTATAGTCACTTGCAGTGCCAGGCGGCAAGGCCCACTATTCTGTTTCAGGTGATAGAACTGCTTATGGGGCGGCATTGGATCACGAATCAAACAGGCCCTAGGTTTAGCGCTGCTATTTTTCGTCGGTAGGGAGAACATTGAGGAGTTTGGCTTGAATCTGATGGCACGAATTTCCTAAAAGATTGTAGGTGACCTCTCTCTCAGATTGACTCGTATCAAGTCACTATCTTTCGATATGTTATTCATCTAATGGTGGGTGTTTGGGTTGTTGCAGGCTTACGCCGTCGTATCTCACTGTACTTATAGAGCACAAGGAGGTTACCATCCATCTTAGTATCAGCTAGACAATTGCTAGTAGCATTAAGTGTTTCTCTCTAGCTCTATGAGATTATTCCCAACTACTATATCTCCTCTTTTCTCCTAATCCCTTCTACCATACTAACCCTTTGTCTTAGTCCCCTATGATAAGATGCTAAGCCCATTTATTAGTACTGCATCCGCCTTTGCAGCTAACACAATCACAAGTTTGCAAGTCGCGGCGATGTACCACGTACCTTCGACACAGACTTTCGATTTTTAGAGTTGTTGAGGTACAAAAGTAGAACCATCTACTCACCTGTCTATCCTGTCTTAGATGCACATGTAAGACAGAAATATCTCAATTTCCAGTACAGACGAAGGGACACTCACACAAATCTACCCAACATGCGCTTAGTGTCCAATCAAGAGCGCATTTGTCAACAGTCTGTTCTTTGCATGGGCCAGGATGCGCCAATTCGCTGACACGGAGAACAGGCATCCATACATTGCGTGTCGACCAAAAGTGCAGTACATCCGTCCCTGGGACCATCCATCTACTGCTCAATTTGCAATGACGAAATCCTCCTTCGCTGGAACAAAAAGCCCGGGCTACTTAGTCTAGTACAAGGTTTGTAATCAAATAAGCTACTGCCACTACTCAGACAAACCATCTAGATCAAGACAAAATAATATAGTTGACGGATGTCTTGGCTAAGGGTATAATTCAAGCTATAGATAATCACAGAGCAGAATCCAGAGTACGTGATCTGAATACGTATGCGTGATTCTAGTCGATGATTCTGCTACATGCAACACAAAGGCAAAGCTCCAATTATGTCTAGTTCATGGGTCATGGGTTCAGCGACTCGAAAGAAAACAATTTTGGCTGACTCACACTTAGACCTTATCTATACCTGGGTCAATTTGCTGGCCTGCTTGTTAGCCCTTGGACAGGGTGGAATTTCCCTCCGGCCGACCGATCAAAGCTACTGTACTGCCTACAGATCTACTCAACGGGTCTAGATCTGAAGATGAAGCAAGGCTGTACAACTCGGCAGTCAACTCCGAATGGTAGCTTTCCATACACGAGCCCGTGGATCCGAGGTCCGAGTGTTTTCTTCTGGGTCGTACAGTCCGTACTTGTGGTTGAACTTTGTATCCGAGGGGAAGGTGGTTTAAGTTTCCGTGGTATAGAAGTGGCGAGTCGGAGAGCCGGGGATGGGCGAGATTGGAAGTGCGTTCTTTATTGCGGTCGAAGCTGATTTGCTTTTCCTGTTTGCTGCCTAGGGACTAAAGAGGGCATTTCTACGAAGAGGTTGGCTTCATTCTAAATTAAGGAATCCAATGTGTCCACGGTGATTGTGAAGCAGATTTTGCAGGGGGTCCGGGGTAAGTCTTTCGTAGAGTGCGCAACAAAGTATGGAACGTGTCGAATGCTGGAGTGTTGGTTGTTGTCAACTGAGTAACCATAGAGACCGCTCTTTTCACTTCTTAGCACAGCTTCAAGCCTTCAACAACAGCGAAGCAGTACCAGCAAAGAGCCAATCCATGCATAAGCCACCGGTATGTCCCTCTATATCTGGACTGAGCCTTGGAATGGATGGTATTCCTCCTCTCCAGCCCACTGAGCTTCATGCAACGACTCGTCCATCTGAGACTTGTCCAGGCCAGAAATCACCTCACTGTCCACATAAGTTAGCAATCATTCTCTCTCCCGGTACTCCTCAGAACATACTCATCTGTAGCCAAAACTTCCAACCCAGGCACACAATCAATCAATGCATAAAGCAGGTAACTGCCTCCAAAACTCCAGACAAAGCCGATAAGCGCCTCCACGACTTGGATACCAAGTTGTCTCCAATTCCCGTCAAACAGACACCCACCCGTGATCTCCGTGACACCGTCATACGCAGCCACCTTCTTTTGCGCAAAGAGGCCCGTGACTATGGTGCCCAGAAACCCACCAAGACAGTGCGTGGCGAAAGTATCGCCATTATCAACCCAGCGGTAGTGTTTCGCGCGTTTCGTAAACTTGATGCGCAAAGCTTGGTAGCCACAGACTGCGCCGAGAACACCAAATCCCATTGCGGTCGGCATGTCGATAAAACCGGCGCTTGGGGTGATGAGGACGAGTCCCGCGATCGCCCCGAGAAAGGTGCTGTCCAGACTCCATTTGCCAGTATGGTAGTACGTCAGACTAGCCCACGTGATGGCCCCCGAGGCAGCGCATAGGTTGGTCACACAGGCGGCCATGACGCTCTTGAAATTGAGAGCGAGGGTGGTGCCCGCGTCGAAGGCAAGCCAGGCGTTCCAGATGATAATGAGAGCGAGAAGCTGGCAAAGAGTATTGTGTGGGCGGTGAAGAGCGAGATGGTTTGGGGTGCGAAACGAGGAGCGTCGTGAGCGGAACAGAGGATAGGATAGATACACACTCAGAGCGGTGGCTGTGGCTCCGCTACAGATATGGACTGGCGTGCCCCCAGCGAAGTCGAGGGCGCCAAGGTTGGCGAGGAACCCTGTTTCGGACCAAACCATATGGGCAAGGGGTGCATAAATGAAGGTGCACCATAGCTATGCACTGTTAGCGGAGCGATCCGGAAGTACTAGGAAGGGTGGCTGACGAAGATGAAGGGGATTAAGGGAAGTAGACGCCCACGCTCGCAGGCACCACCGATCGCGATTGCACACACAGTGGCGCAGAAGATGAGCTGGAACTCCGAGAACAAAATCTCGGGGATGGAACCAACGGGATTAGCAAGGACTCCAATGTGAAAGGCCTTGCTGAGATCGCCAATGATGCTGTTTCCCTCGCTGTAGGCGAGAGAGTACCCAATCATCCACCATTGAATGGTACAGACAGCGACCGCCAACAAACCAGGGTAAAATGATGCGAGGCTGTTGAAGCGTGTCGAATAGCCCGAGTAGGCAAGACCGACAGCAGGAATGATAAGCCAGCAAAAGACGGAACAGACAAGGATGAAAAGAGTATCAATCTTGGAGCAGCTCTCCCAGGCTGCCTGGACCGACATGGCGCTTGGTTGTATAGCGGTGATCGACACAGCATGCTGAAAAGTGCTAGGTCGCGAGCTGGGGCTTTATAGCTCTCTTGAAAGGGAGAACAATGAGTTATGCACGAGTGACGAATCATACATGCATGGCTTATCAGTTGGCACGACTTGAACAAAAATGTTCCACAAGATCAAGCTCACTTATGAGCTGTGACAATCGATAAGATAAGTGCATGAAAGAGGGGTTGCCAAGACAACATGCATGGGATGAATGGCCGATGCCTTGCAGGAAAGTGCTGGGCGACTAGCGCGGCCGTGATTATGCATCCGCTAGGTACTGTACAGTGCAAAAGCAAACGAGAGTTGGTGTGAGCTTGCTCCCTTTGACCAGCGCCTTCGAAGACCCCAATTCTGGCCCATTCGATCTGCTTGAGACAATGACGACAAAACTTGGGAGATCAGCGAGCACCAGCTACTTCCACTGGTATCTAGCAGCAGCTATAGTTATTTTCCAATCAGAAGATGGAGCGTGTATGAGAACAGCGAATAGCCTACCTCGGCGAGTCCTAGCAAAGAGGCGGAGATGAGAGTTCCAGTCCTACACTGCCGCTCTAAGCTGGACTTGAGTGACTTCAGGACCTTTGCTCGCAAGCCGGAAAGCGTAGACCACGCGTGATGTTTCAGGCGAGATTTTGATTTGACCGAACTAGCACTTTGAGCTAGATAGGCTTTACCCACGAGGGGTACAGCCCTGCGCACTAATTCATCGTCGCGGAAGAGGTCCCCAATGGCTTCGAATGAGAAAATCCGGATGAATGGCGAAGTGGCAGAGCCCACGAGGTCGAAAAAGAAACTGGCGTATGACAACTCACTTGTAGGCCGGTAAGCACCTAGGGCGCTGGATATTAGGCGGTGCTGATAGGAAACGATGAAGTTGGAGGTAGGCGTGGAGAAGGCACAGTTGAGGGCTCGCTTCGTGCAGATTGAGCAAGGTCTGCCATAGATTATGAGTACTTTGTATGATTTCACACGGCGCAGTGGAGTATAGTTTACCTTTGCATGCTCACGTCGACAATGAACGCAGCGACGCCGCTTGAGACGTGGGTCTTTCTATCCAGATGGCATTCTGAATGAAAGTGTCAGAGAGAAGTTACTACAGCAGAAAACAACCCTGGTGGTCATATAGGGACTGAGCATGATCGAAAGACTAGTTTGCTCAGTTGGAAGCTTCGTGGGCTCAGTGATATGGACCGGTTTCTGGTGCCTGATAATTATGGACTGAGTGGGCCCGACGGAGACAGCACCCACAGCTGGGGTAGGGGTTCTGAATCATCCATACCCGAACAGGTAATAATGTTACGGTTAGTGCACATACTATCCAAGTCTCAGTTGAGTCTCTTGCCCGTGATGAAGTTGCTCATTATCAGTCAGAAGGCATTAGTATATCTTTTTCATTGTAGATTGTGTTCTCACCGATGATAATTAGAAATTCTATATTGGATAAATGGACGTCATAATGCGGCGATGGGCTTAGTTTTAGAGCCTCTCGAAATGTACAGGCTTCTTGATCCTGCTTGATTCGAGGCCTGCTACGTAGAAGACGATTATCGCAAAGACTAGCCAGAAAGAGGAAAGAAAATGCGAGGGATGGTACCAGGATATGTCGCGACTTAGCACTGATGCCGCCAAGGCACATGTCATAGTTCTTCTGATAAGCGAGACCATCGATCAGGCAACTTTTTAATCGTGACCTGAAGTGTTTTCTTTCGACTAAAGCATTGTATGAATAACAAGGTCAGCAGGTGTTGAGATACGCCACAATCTCACTAGCCACATAAAGCACCGTCCATGAATCTCATCAGCCACAAATGCCAAGCCCATCATCTCAATCAGGTGATACGTGGCCATCATCTCGGTGCAACTATAATCCGGCTCCTGAACCGGGGCAATTCCTCCGACTAGTCCGCATCCCCGAAGAGCACAGCTGGCCCATTCGCGTTCCACCCCATCCAACATTCTGTCCTCAATCCACCCTTTCCACTCATTGCACCACCACCACCCAAATCATCCTCCTTACACAGTCACCATGTCCGACCAGGTCCAAGAAATTCTCAACGTGCCCCGCGAGTTCCTCCGCGAGGGTATGCAATTTGTCAACCGCAGCCAGAAGCGTGAGTCTCCTGCTCCCTCGTGACCTCTCGTCTCCGTGACTCTTTCTGGAAAGCATTTGGCTAATGCGCAACACAGCCGACAAACGCGAATTCATCAAGATCAGCCAGGCTGTTGGCACTGGTTTCCTTATCATGGGCTTCATTGGATACATCGTCAAGCTGAGTATGTGCCGCCTTTCGAGTGTTGCGGTCTCTTGTCGGACATTGTCAGCACCAAAGCCGGCAGCATAGCTAATAAACTAATGTAGTCCACATCCCCGTCAACAACGTCCTCGTCGGTGGCGCCTAAGCGATTATATTCCTTGAGGATTGGTTGCTGAGTGATTATTCTGATCGCTTCCCTAGCGGCATGGGACCCGACCTGCGGACTCGAACTTCGAACGATCGGCTCGGGCTCACGGCTTCTCCTGGGGAATAGCAACTGGTGGTGGGAACAGAAAGTGGAAGGTTGGAAACGGGTCATCTTATCGTATTATACCTCACCGCGCGAGTCTTGGACTTTACAACAAGCGTCTTGATGTCTTTTCTATCGCCGGGCCGGGGGACGCTGCCTGGACCGAAGGGTCGCGCGGCAGCTTTCTCCGCGGGTGGAAAAAGGAAGCCGGTCGGTTTTCGAGGGATCGGGCTGACCGGCATATGTGCATAATCAATCTGGGTAGGCGTTTATGGGGTGCTCTAATGAGAACTTGGTCTTTCTATATGTTTATGCTCGCTTCAGACCTGCGAGTATTCTTCAGGGGGGAGGTGTGCTCCAATGTGCAGTGCAATCCCTCAGTCATAGATTCTCGCCGACAAGGACTTCATAATGAATTGTTCTAGTCTCCTACTGGAACGATTCAATCCCCAAACCACTGCAGAGCTACCGCAACACCAAATGAAACCACCCCCGGTGATAAGTCATACAAGATGATGTCACCACTTCCACAAACCCATTTCCTGACTCATACCAACGAAGTAGACACCGACAACAAACTCACAGTAAAAAAACCCTGGACCCAACAGCGTACTCGAACAAAGTCATCATCCCACCTTTTATATCCGAACACCCACACTACAAGAGCCTAGGCAAACCAGTGGATCCCCCTCCCCCTCGCCCAACTGCCGACATCCGAACCCATGCTTGACTTCATCAAGAAGCACCAACGGACTCCACACCAGCCCCGAACCACGTAGTACTCTTGTCTCTTCAATCCCAGGAACATAAATCCGCCCTCCCGCCCTCGTTCCCTTCCCCTTCCGCATATTGTCCCCTACAAAGATACTTGCAACAACGCAACGGCCAAAAAATGGACCCCATCTCTCCACCCCCGCAACTCACCCACCTCTTCACCCTGCGCTGCGCCGTCGACCCCCCGATGGAGATCGGCCCCGGCCCTTACGGCCGTCGCCGCTGCGTCCCCATCAAATCCGGCACCGTGCGCGGGAATTTCCTCAATGGGGAGGTCGTCCCCGGCGGGGCGGATTTCATGTATGCTTTTTGCCATGCCCTTCTCCCTGCCCAAATATCTGTTTTGCTCCACAGAACTGTCTGGTGTTAGTGAGTTTAGTGGGTTATGGGAAACTGACTGCGGCCAAAAAAACAAAGGCTCGTCGAGGAGAATCAAACCACGCATGTGAATACCAACTACGTGATTAAGAGTGATGACGGGGCGTTTATTTATATTCGGTATGTTTGTTTCATAGTTTTCGGGATATCACCGGGGCCCCCAAGGGGAGGATGTGCGAGAGGGCTGTTGGGGGAATAGAGGGCTGGAACTGCTTGAGGATAGCTGGGGGAGGTTTGGATGGAAAAGCTGATGATGATGATGATGATGATGATGATGATGATGATGATGATGATGATGCTGACTTGGATTATAGGACGGAGGGAACCCGCTCCGGTCCTCCGCAAGTCCTGAAAGCTCTCATGGAAGGCGACGATCAGGTTGACCCCGACCAGTACTGGTTTCATTTGCATATCAAGCTGGAGACGGGTCACGAGCGGTACCGTTGGATGAATAATAGGGTCATTGTGGGGAGGGCGACGCGCGCGAAGGGGGAGGTTGCGTACGACGCATATTTTCTGGAGAACAACTAGTTGAATCACGTTGCATTAGCAGGCTCGGAGCCTGAGCTTGGAAGGTCTTGCACATGATTTATGTGGAATGAAATAGATGATTTTGAAGAGATAAGATTTACGGTTTAGTTATTACAATGAGTAAAGTATATCACAAAATAAGAACTAGGCGTGGAGATTGCGCAGCAATTCCCCCAAATCGATCACCTCCGCGGGACTCGCTTCCTGGCGAGCCAACACCTCTTCTGCGATCTGGTTGACCCAGAGATACTCTGAGTGGAATCCGCGCAATTCTATCAAGCGCTGGCGCAGCCAGTCACGCTGAAGCGGATCGTCGGTCTCGATTAATGCCATCAACAGGGGCCAGTGTAATCGACGTAGGAGGCGTGGGTCCACGGCGAATTGCTTGTGTGTGTTTTCGAGAATCCCCGTTAGAGCCTGGCGGTGGAGTACAGTCGGGGCCTGACTGGGGCTAAGCAGACGGCGGTGAAAGAGAATGAGCGCGTAAAAGTTGCTAACAGCCATATAGATCGTGTTTAGAGTGCGGCGGGTGGAGCCGGCCCCGGAGATTTTGGCAGTGACGAGAAGGTCGGAGAAACGCTATCTGGCTTTAGAAAAGAAGCAAGGCAGAGACAGTGGGAGACTTACATCACGCACAGAGAGAATCTCTGTGTATAACGTATCCGGAGTGTATGCCGAGTCTGCAGGATCGCCTAGACATTTCCAGGCCTTGTGCCATAGTATGAAGCCAGTATGGATCAGCTCTAAGCCCCGGTAATTTTCCATATCATCGGCTATTTCCTGGTCGGGGTACTGCGTGCCCCAAAAGCAACGACTCCAAAGACGTGCGCTTCGGTGAAGTTGGTCTGGGTGCAAAGCTGGTTTGTTGGAGTTGAGGACGTAATCAGTCAGTGAATCGTTGGTTGTCGCGAGAACGCGCCGGTTGATGTCGACATATCTGGGAGGAACTTAGAATTAGCGGAGAGTATGAGTACCCAAATAGAAAAGAACTTACAGGATCCAAAGAAGGAATTGTTCAGGAATAAATGACACACGAGGAGATACATCCCCAACTGGGCGATCTGCATCCATTGACAGCATCACCTCGTCGAAGTTCTTGGACTCAAACAGTTCTGGGTGTGTTTCGAGCAGGGATCGTACTCCTTGAAGATGCAGCTGTAGATGACGCAGACAATGCCCGAATTGCCATTCGTAGGCGACCATGAGAAACATCGTCGCGAAGATCATTTCCATCTCAGCAAGTGAAACTTGAGGTTTGGGAGTCTCCAGCATTTGCCGAAACTCCTTTACGGCCATGCCATAGTGGAAGCGGCCGTGGTCTTCCGCCGTGGGGCGTCCTGGAGAGCGCACCACCAGACCATTACGGTACATGTCACTCGCAGATAGCGCCAGTATCATGCGCATAATCACTCTGCTGACGCGCGCAGGCCCCTGGTAGAGGTAGCAGAAGCTGCTCCACTGCCAGTTCTTCATATAGTAGAAGACGACGGAAGAGGAGGGGAAATACTGAAAGTATTTCCGATCATGTTCGGTAAGCACCAACGCGTTCGAGCAGGGAAAATCAGTCCCCGACAATGAAGGATAGAGGGGGGGTGTCTGAGTATAAGCCGGGTGATATACCGGCCAGCTCGTGGGGAGGAAGCCGTCCGGGGAAGCCGGGGAGAAATCCGGGGCACATCCGGGGGCCGGGGGCCACAAAGAGGCCAGGGTGTTGGCATAGTGGGCATCAAGGATGCCAACTGTTGCCCCGATAGGAGTAACAGGCGCAGTGGTTGACGCAGTAATTAGCGTGGGAGAGCTAGGGGTTATCGCAGTAGTCGTAGGAGCGACAGCAGCGGTGGTTGCGGTGGTGATCGGATCGCTGCGGGTGGTTGGCGGCGGCGGCGGCCACCGGGGCTGCAGATGACGGACGGGCGCATTCTCCCCGGTCTTCCCTCCTCGTTTGACAGGAATCCCCCACTCGCAAGTAAGACGCAAATTAAAGCATCGCTTGCACACCGGACGCTCCTCACCACATTTCACTTTGCGACGGCGGCAGGTGCTGCAGCCTGTGAAGCGAGGTCATTTGTTAGTTCGTTCGGTTAGCACTTAGCAGGGAAGAGTCGGCAGATGCCGCATACCATTCTTCGAGCGAGGCGCGTTCCGACCCGACATGGAATGGCACAAAAGGTCCACTCAGTGATGAGATGAACCGATCAACCGGTAGGCATCAGTTAGATCGGGGGTGGTTTAAAGAAGCCCAGAAGAGCAGATCGGAAACGATGAGCTTGTTCTTGTTAATTTTTCCGATCGGTTAAGGCGCAAGAGAGAAAGTCAGTCCGGAATGCCAGGAAAAAATTGAAGAAGAAGCGAAACCGGGGAAGGAGGCTTAGTCAGCGGTGTACCCTTTCCTCGACTCGAGCAGGAAAGAGAAGGCTGGAAAAGGAAAGCATGAGGTAAGTGGAGTTGTACTATTTTCTTGGTCGGAGGGGGCTGCTGAAGAATTGGTTCCATGGGAGAATCATCTCCATTCTCCAGTATTCTCTCCCCACAACCAGCTCCCGCTGTCTATACTTGTCAGTCCTATAACTATACCATTAACTAGACTATAGCCTTGCGGGTGTTTCAGTTGACTCGCTAGCCTCCCTGTCAATGACGATCGATGACTCTATCGACCTTTACAGTGCATTAGCACCAACATCAAGTGATACCTTTGTTCTTCTTGTCTCTACTATTACTACGGAGTACTCCGTACCCCTGTTGTTATTGCCACCAACTACTCCTCCACAGCCTGCCGCCACTGTTGCTGCGCCACTGCAAATAGCTCGTCGTCTGTCAACATATCCCACCCGATCAGTGCCAGCGACTTCCCCACAATCACAGCCTCTTCGTGAGCCGTATCCGTCCCTGCCGCAGCGGCAAAGCTGGGATGGTGAGGAAAGGAGCCTGGTTCATCGGTAATCCCGAACATCGTGTGAAGTGTTGGCACAAGATAACTGACATTTCCTGCATTCTGGTCAGCATCAGATGTTGCATTTGAGCATTCGCGACCAACCAATATCCGATGACCCTGTTAAGACCTTCTCATGCTGCGCCAGTACATTTCGTTCATAACGGCCCATGTGCGCTTGGTATCGGTCGCATAAGGTGTCGTTGATCTTGATATCCGTGTAGAGCTCATTCCTACCACTGTCAACATGTTTTCAATCCCTAGGAAAGAGATAGCCTTACTCCAAGATCTCTACTTCACAACCAGTAGCCATTGCCCCGGCCTCGATGCAGTTCCGCACCTTGCCCATCAAAACATTCAACCCTTTCAAGGTCGGACTGCGCACCTGCCAGTAAGCTCTGGTCAAAGCCGGTATCACATTCGCCACCTTAGGTGTGTCCAAAAAGGCAACATGGACCCGCTCGTCTGGGTACATCTGTTGGCGTAGAACAGCCACATTGTTGTACGAAGCCACCAAAGCATCTAATGCGTTGACTCCCTCCCAGGGATTACCTCCTGCATGGGCACTCTTGCCTCGGAAGGTGCAATGAATCTCCTTGCGCGCGTTCATCCGAACACCTCCGACACCATCTGCCACCACACCGGGGAAGAGTTCCCGAGGACCTGCATGACTAGATGGGTCAGTTGGGTCAAGCTGTCAAGGAACAAAGGGAGAACCGTACGCCATCAAAGACACATCCACGGCTTTATAGGCTCCAGCGTCAATCAGTTTGGCCTTTCCTCCGCCATTCTCCTCTGCTGGAGTACCCAACAATTGTGTCCGTCCCGGTAGACCATACTGCTTCAACACGGCGGACAGGGCAAGAAATGATGCAACACTGCTAGTAGTGATGAGGTTGTGGCCGCAGGCATGGCCAATACCCGGCAAAGCATCATACTCGGCATTGAAATTGATCAGCCGCCCTCCAGACCCGCTGATCGCCTCAAACGAGGTATCTAGTCCATATGCGTGGCGAGTTACGGTGAAACCTTGCTTCTCAAGGAAGTCGCAGATTACATCGTGCGCACGATGCTCTTCGTACGCTGTCTCTGGATTGGACCAGATCTGTGAAGGTATAAGTACAAGAGGACAATGACAATATGGAGCCATGCCCGTACGTACCGTGCGATTGAGCTCACGAAGAGGGCCTTGCAAAGATGCTAGTGTAGTATCGACCGTTGTCTTCACTTCCTCTGCTGTTGGTAATGATTGCAGGATAGCCATTTCGAATGTTTGGGTGGTGTTTTGGTGTCTTCGTTGCACCCCGGATGCTGAAAACGGCAGTTCATATATCCTATTTGCTGTCTGCGCCATTCTTACTACGCCAACCCCTCAATCTTACAAACCGCAATCAATCAATCAATCAATCAATGCAATCCGGCCGTAGCCTCGGTTGATACTACTAAGCCCCGCGCATTGCGATGATACTTGAGATAATTTATCGTGATAAGATTGGCTGGGTGTCATCATCCGGAAAGTCTGACGTCGGCTGTCTCGCTTCCACCCCGCATTTTCGGGAAACTCAAGGTTTCCCGCTATCGGGGTTTGTTCTTGATCAAAGAGATAGTCTTGAGCGATTGACAAATGATTGCGCTATCAATATCATGACCAGGGTCTAGATATGCAGGATAAGCCGCATGGCGTATGCCTACCCAATCGAGTCTATCAGGTGGCCTCGGCAGATAACAGTAGCCGAGTGGAGCCCGGGCGGGGATGATAGACAGGTTTGCGAACCAGAAGGTTGGTGTGCCACGCGCCCTGTCCTTCATTTCTCCGCATGAGATCGGGGACGGTGGACAGTGTGGACTGTGGAGGGGGCGGTGGAAGCAGGTTGGAAAGGAAATGCAGTTCCTTTCGCGCTAAATGGCACCGAGTAATCTATTGAGTGGAGACTCGTTGCTCCAGGATTACCCGCGGATTGGTACACTTGCCGAGCCACTCCCGGCAATTGGTCCAACTGCCGACCGAGCCCTAATGGCTGTCCCAGAACGCAGCCGAATTCGGCGCCGGGCCTTGGGGGTGTGCCTGCTCGACCCACGAGTTTTCCCCGTCGTTCCCTGACTGGATCTGAAAGCGACTGACGATCGAGCCCACAAGAGGCCAGCTGGAGAGAGGGGTCTG